CCCGTGTAAACCTAAAGGGACTAAAATTATTATTACCTATTTGATTCTCGTTTTGTTCACTTGAAGGGCTAAATTTTGGGCACTAAACTTCTTATTCCTTGGCCAATTTTTTATTTTTTCATGCTGATTTCAAGGCCATGGGAAGGCCATTTAAGCATCTGAACCAGTCAAAAAAGTTTTAGTTCTTTTACGGTTTTTGCGGAAAGTTGTGTTAAAGTTGATGCCGTGGTGTCAGTAAAATGGTAACAGATGTGTACAATATATCGTCTCGTTTTATATATACTATGTAGTAAGATGACATCACCGTTCTTACTTCCTACTACTGAACTACGTTGACAATTACATAATTACACGTTGCACGTGTAATCCACTGCTTCTATGCTTTCACATTCACATACTTCCTTTCCCCATCTGCCGTGAAACTTTAAAGTACGTGCGAATTTTTTAGGTAGCTCAATAATGGAAAAATAAATAAACGGAATGGAAAATGGTCTCGAAAAATGTGACTAAAACTATTGTAGACTAAAAATTTCAGAAATTTGTGACTGAAATTATGGTAAAAACATTTTTGTAACCAAATTTGTTTGCCTTAAGGTAATTAGAGTTGAAAAAGAATCATGCGTACCAGGAAAGTAGAATGACTCATCGCCTTAGAATATTTGTGAGGGATGTGAAGTGTGGCATATTTCTGATGCTTCTTTAGACAGGGAACATGCACAACCAAAGCCCGGGATATCAAAACTTTAAAGTTTTCGTTAATTTCTTTGATATGTTCTTGTGTTGGCAATACCATGCTTGCTGAAATGTATGATGATTATACACTTATTTCATACAAATATAGATCGACATTTCCCACTAATTCAAGCTTATCAGTTAACGATAAGCTTATATGGCCGTTCGTATTCATTATTTAATCTAATTTATATCACTACCTTTCAGATCTTCAGGCCTTATAAGGGGTTCCGTAGAAGATAGCGTATGATCTCGTATTTCCTCCAACTTGCCAGCAACTGCGAACACATCTAACGTGCTATCCTTAGATACCCCGACATATCTTGCTTGAGAATTCCTGTGTAATGAACGTGGCTTATAAAAAGAAACAAGTTAAACTGGTCATGATTAAGTATTATTTTAATCTAACTTGAGTAAACGTCATCCAAACAAAACGAGAAATTTTATGGAATTTATAGCTGAAAATATTCGTACATGTTGAGGTTGTCTCCCATCTGGTGCGTTCGCGGATGAAAGATTGGCAGGGTAGCATTAGTAAGCGGGGAAACAGCTTCCCTTGTTGATTGTTCATATTCATTTATGATGGAAACTCCGCCGGAATCTGATAAAATATAAAGTATAGTGACTAAGATATAACTGTAACAAGATAAATATAGATCGTAAAATGCTGCCATGTTACAGAGTAAAATTGCCATAAACCGAGTACATGTCTCACCATTTTGGACGATCTTGGTTTTAAAATTGCTTTCGCCGAGATGGAGATGCGGCAGTTTCTCGAAAGCTGCCAGATTAACCGGAGTTCCAGCCTTAACCGCTTCCTTTAGTAATGCTGGTACAGCGTCATATATCTGAGTCTCGTTTGCAAGGATTAGCTTTAATGAAGTTTTTCCGACCGTCAAACCAGTATACTGTAGCTGATCTATTGCATCCACAGTCAGCCCTATAAATTTTGAACCAATACAAATCAAAAATTAAGCACTATTTATAAATTCGCAATTTCACAAGACTTCAATGCGGACCTATTAGTATTACATAGGAGAACTAATTTTAAAGTCCAAATTAGGTATTTAGCATTTTTAAATTGATTAAAACTTACTAGAACTGTACAGATACAAAGACGTTTGGGCCGCCCAAACGGACAGATTCTTGTTCGATAGCTTGCCCAGCATAGCCAGTATCATCCCAAGACGACTCATCAGTCCTTCTTCATAATCCTGTAGTGACATTATTTGTGCCCTCGAGTCTTAACTATTCTGCAATACATCGTACAATATATTTTACTGTATTACTTAACACATATTCGTAATTTTAGTTCTACGCTGCAATATGCCCGATAATTTCATTAAAGTACAGTGCTTTTGATAATATATTCTTTAAATAAGAATAGATTATTAAACGAAAAATACCTCTTCGTTTTGGTGGCGTGACTTTTCTATCCATGTTCTGAGAACGAGCAAAGTCAATTCAGCCCTTTCTTCGAATTCCCGGACTACCATTTTTGGCGTAAGGTCTGTAATCTGACTCCTGGCTTCTGTATAAATTAGAAATATAACTGTTAATATTTTCTGTGATTAGTTGATAACTTAAGGAGCATGTGAAATACACAAATTGTGTATGTGCATTACAGCCTAGTTAAATATGAAAGTATCCTTAATAGTCATGGATCTGAAGACATTCCCGTCTATATAACTTCTGCCCCGGGGTTTGAGACTTGGAATAGCTCCTCACTCTAATCAGAAGCCGAGTTTTACTAATTTTAAGTATAGTCGTGACTCGCGAGAGCTTAAAAATAGGGTTTGGCCTAATAAATAAACAACCCAATTGTCTGTGGACTTTAAAATTATGCTCTACCAACTCAATGAGATGATTTTAAACATTTTGCTACCTGAGTTTAGCTCCCTAACCCCAATCTGAATCAGAGTTATTTTCATTTAACGCGATAGCGTTAAAATATCAACAACCTGATGTCTGAGGACTTTGAAACCATGCTCTACCCCACTCAATATTATAATTCTGGACATTTCGCTGCTCTAGTTTGGTTCCTAATTTCAATCAGAAGCTGAGTAATTTTGATTTTAAGCGCTGCAATCGCTACTCGCTCCAAATAGAAGTAGAGTTATTTTGGTTTCAAAGCGCCAAAAAAGGGCGTGGTCGATTGCGCAAAACTGTACAATAGCCAACATTTTTACCTAAGTCAAATTTTTTTCTGATGGGTCCCTTAAGCTATTCCAAGTCTCAAACCCCGGGGCAGAAGTTATACAGACGAGAATGTCTTCAGATCCACGACTATAATAATTTGGCAAGTGCCTCTGCTATAAAGGCATAGGCGACATTAAAATATAATTGTAAAAACGTAAAATTTATCTTAAACAATCTAAGTACCTGGCTGACCGATGCCACCCTTAGTATGTACTCTCAGTACAGATGGGTGTTTCGTTGACACGATGGCGGATCTTTCTTTCCTTATCTGTCTTCTAAGATCATTCGATGTAAACTGAAATGCGATTATAAAATGTTATAATATTAATAGTGAAATATCACGCTTTATACGCTGTACTTAAGTATATCATATTTACTGTCTGTACTGTCTTGTGCTATAAGTTACTGTACCGTTACGTATGGTATTGTTATTTGTTATATGGTATTGTTATTTGTTTTATGTTGTATACCTATAATAGGCAGTATTAGTATCACACCACGATTCGGCAGAAATATCATAGTTTTCTACATCATAACTTTTGAAAGTTACGAAATTATTTTAACAGTTTTGCCATAAATCGTGTAAATGGGCGTCGCCAATAGTTAAAATTTACCGATTGGCAATTGGGCACCGGAGCTGTTGCAGCGTCTGCAGTGTTGGTCCCAGTCTGTGTTTCTACATTACAGAAGATTCGTGGTTCATCCCGTGTCAACTTTCTCTTCTTACTGCCTCTTACAGAAAGTATAGTCTCCTGAACATTTTAAATGTGATTTAATACTAATCGATTGTTCATTTTACATGTTCATTGTTCATACATCAGCAAAATAAGAATCTGTATTTAAGATAGCCGGCACGGTTAAACTTCTTGAAACAGTAAAAAGTGCATACCATCTCCAGTGTGTTCTTGAGCTTTCCCAAACATGTGACACAGACTAGTGTTCCCGTGTGAAAAGAGTACCCGATACTCTCTAAGAGGTTATCTGCAGCCTCTAACCTGCAAGAAATTTGAGTATAAATCTTTGAGAGGGCCGGTGTCTATTTCGTGAACATGCACTGCCGATGATATACTAAAAACCGCTCAGTTCAGGGGTGATAAGTATCCTAGTTTGTTTTTTTTTGTGGCGGGTTTTATTGTGTCGGGTAAAAATAATAGCGGGTAAACGTATGACAGGTTTTCCGAAAATCCGCCAAAATTAGTCAGAGCCAAATGTTCAAATGGCCAAATGTTTTAAGCACTATCTATAATAGATGTGATAATCGTCAAGAAATCGCTTTTAACACGAAATGCTAACGAGATGGCTATTGAGAACGATCGCTCGCTGTCTAATATAACCATACGACTACGACCATCATAACATAATTTACTAAATTTCGTGACAGTAACAATTTGTAACAACAAGTGGTTTATCATATAACATAATCATGTACCTATGTGATGACAATGCACAGCACAGTACACATTTTACAGGTTTTCTTGGCATCGGAAACGTAGGAAATAGATAGTAAAAATCAGGAAATATGTCGTTATGAAATCATATATGCATTATATATACATTCTTTGATCGCTTGAACATAATCATATCAGACAAGCGCGATGGAAATTAACCAATTAAAGCACGTATATTTAATGCGCGCGTCTAAAAATGTCTCATTAACCGAGATTCTGGAAACATGTGGCAGAATGACCGATTTGGAAACATGACCTTGTACTTGTAGCCACAATTATGCCTGGACTGACTTGGAATTAATCTGGTATAGTAGAGGGACTACAGCTGCTACTTACATTACATACCTTAACTTAACCTAAAACCTTCATTAACATTGCTATGTTTATTCTTTAAGATTGCTACATGTCACAAGTGCGGTCACAAGCCATGAGATACGTATAATTACCATTTACTGGCCACTAGGAGGTCACCTTTAGGCTACTATATAAATGTTAGTAACCGATGAAATTAAGGTTAATAACATCTTAATCCACTGTTTTAGTAAAATAAAGTGCCTTAAATCTCCTTAATAGCCGATCACCAATCAAGAATTACATGATTTAACACGTGAATATTTTCAGGAGTGGATTCGTGGGAGGAGGAAATTGCCGCCGACCTGAAATTCCGTACGGGAACTGGACAGGATTGAAACGAGTGCAACTAAAAAGTCGTGCATTGACAAGATCTCTGTAAATAAGTTATTTATCGGTTCAGGATTTTGATATTTCAAGTCTTGTTGACTGTCTTGCTGAGACGGCCACGGTCTGACCGTATTGCTGAGATTATCAACACCATCGACACAAGACAGCATCTCGAAAAGTGAAGTTTGATATAGCCACAAGACCTGATCAGATGCAGAATGAACTACTCAAGTAAGCTGATCCTGTCGTTTATGATATGTATGCAGGAGCTCTAAATTACTCTTTCACTTGCACTACCAACAGCTACATCAAGAACTTAAACTGTCGAACTAGAGTTTTAAAATCTCCGATCTCAATTAGTGCAGCAATCCTTAAGGAACTTGAAATCTATTTGTTTGTTTGATTTCCACTTGTCTCATGCTGTTAAATTATGTGTGAGGTAATCTCTATAATCCATATCTACGAACATTTAATTGACCTCATACTCAATCGTTAGTTTGCAGCATTGTAGGATTAGCTAAAAATAAAGATGAATGAAGATTAGATAAAATACGTAGTAACTACTAACTAATAACTCAAACTTCGTTTGTTTATCTAGATTGTAGAGTACGCTATATGGACAAGTTCATTTGAGTTTGAGGATGTTGGTAAATATAAGTGACCGTATTAAAAGGCACGGTGTAGTTGACTTTGCCACACTATGAAATGACACAAAACCTTGATAGTTATGATAATCGTATCATTCTCTAGGCTAACTTTGTCACATAACGATATCTTAATCAGGAGGTATCGGTTAAATACGGCTGGCACGTAAATGTTTACCTTTTGACACTTTAGACATGTAACGATGTAAATATAGACCCCTTGCTGCCATTTTGATCAAATGTTCGAGTGTTCAATTCACTGGATGGGTACATATATCCGTTACTTACACATTGGGACAACTGTTGTTATGTAGGTGTGCAATTATTTGATTACCCGGATGTGTTGGGAATCGTTATTATTATATTGTTAAAAGCAACTAAAACATAGAAGGCACAAACAAATGTATTTTGTCACATACTCTTGATGATATCTGAACATGTGTGAAATTGAACAAATAATGATATATACCAGCTTGAACACCCTATTATTAATTGCAGGAATTATAGGAATTACACCCTATATTAATAATATTATAATACGGGGGGGGGGGGGGGGGCAGTCAGTACCCATTTGTTGGCCTTAATAGCTCAGTCACTGAGTCACTACCACTACTGGTTCGTAAGTCGTATTTGTCTAATCATAAAATATTTGTGTTCATTTTTTTCAAATGAAGGATCATTTTCGCGTTTGTTTGATAGTTTGGATAGTCGGATCGAGCCAAATATTATTGAATGGTGTTTTGTCATTTAAATTACGTTTGTCCTGAAAAAAATTAGAGATCTAGATTCTCAGATGACCGAGATGTGAAGCATATCGAGTTTGTTCTGGTTCATTACGTGTGATCAGGTGATTAGGTTGAGGCGAGATCCGCATTATGGGAATCGTGCAGAGAGCCCAACTACATACAGGCTACATGAAGAGGTCTCCTCCTAGTCGTTGGAGTGGTCTGCATCACACACATCTCTTCTACGGTGTAGCATGTTCCTCCATTCCACTCGTTTTAGAGCTAACAGTTTTACTGCGACACCTGTAAAGTCAGCCGCATCCTCGAGTACACAGGCCATCCAGACGTTGCCGGTTCGTCCTCTCAGTCTCTTTCCATAGTTTGGTTTGCAATTCAGTAGAAAATTGGGAAACCGTGTCTCTGGCATTCTGACAACATGTCCGTACCACCTTAGTCTAGCCGAACCGATGAAAGTTTTAATAGACTTAATTCCAGCACGCCTGAGAACTTCTTCATTGGAGACATGGAAGAGTACCCAATCAATTTTGCTAACGAGATAAACAAATTGCTTGACTTCGTCATTTTAAATCCGTTTCGCACCATCCTTTCAGATTATATTCGGGATTTAATGACATATTGCAATATGTTACAATACAACGGAGTCTCTAACATGTTCAAAACCACGAGTATAAGCAATTCAATGTTGATTGGGTGTGGCCCCCAAAAATCGATTCTCCAAATTTTGGTGACGGAATCCTCGAACAAGTAGGTACAGTATGCCCTCTGTAAAGCAACAACTCTCAAATATAAAACACGGCGGTGGTAAAAGACCCAACGTATGGGTACTGACTTTTGCCCCCCCCCCCCCTCCCCTGTTTAGTGATATATATATTATATTACGTACTATGGATCAAATAACACTACTTGTACCATGCACCAGTTACATAAATCATTATGTTAACAGTGTCACAATTGCACCATCGCAAAAGGTTTAAAATAGGTTAATTATGTCACAAACAAATTATTATGACTGTTAGCTCCTTGCGGGCAAAATAACTAGTTCATCGAAATATTTTTGATGATAAGGTTACATAGTATTCTAATAGACAGTTTTTGGGAGTTCCAAATAGTTTCTAGTTATTCTGATTTCTTGCGACAAATGATACTGCACTGTTTCAAAGTAACAACTTCGTATTCATGCTGACAAAATTGGTAAATATGTGAGAAAACTGTCTCATAAAATTTATTAATCAAAAATGGCTAAACGACAACAAATTGTTCAAATACTAGACTAAAATTAGAATCAAAATCTATATATACACCAATGCTCGATCTGCTATTCAATAAACTTAAAACATCAACTAAACAGCAAGTACGTGATTGTGATCGTGTGATGGAATGACATGTACAGTGATAACAGATGATAAGGTAAAAGATACAATACATGTGAGATGGTGTATACACAATGTGAGTGAAATTATAGTGAGTGGTTACTGATTGTGAACGAGATGTGAAAAAACATTAAAACTTACTACTACTAGAAAACTGAAACTGTATGCAATAAAAAGGGAATGAAACTAAAATATCTAAAATTCTTCAGTACTAGCTATGATAAAACGTTTAATAGTATCCAGTTCTTCTCTCTTGTTAATTGTAGGGTTCAGATTAATAATAAACATCGCTTCGAAAATCTTTCTTCTGACAGTATTGGGCTCAATTCTTAAAACATCTACTTCTAAACTGGGATTTAACCCCTCATGACAGCTCGAATAATGTATGGCAAAAGCTTGACTAACATTAGAAGGGGTAGCAGGGTAGGTAGCGTAACGTAAGTGTTCACCTACACGAGCATGTACTTTCCTACTGGTTTCTCCAACGTACAGCTGGTCACATAATTTACACTTAATCTTATATACGACATTCTTCACTTCACAATCTTTATTACAAACTATCAAAGGAATTTTACATGAATTAATACTGCAAATTTTTACTACAATTTCGAAGTGGGTTTAAAGTTTACTTTAATAGGTAAATTGTTCTGCTTTACATTATTTCTAATCTTATTGCTAGCACTGTCCGAAATAAAATCTAAATTAAGAACTGTCCTGGAATCATCCTCAACACTCTGACGCCTGTTAGAATTACTACTGCTACAATAACGTCTTGGGTTCTGGTAACCGTTTTTCTGTAATAGATCTTCAAGGAGTCTGAGAGAGTGCTCCTTTTCCGCTGGGCCAGATGAGATGCGGCAAGCCTCGCTATATAGGTTCTTCACTGTATTAATCTTAACAGACTCAGGATGGCAAGAGTTGTTGTGCAGGGTAATATCCTTTTGTTGCGGCTTGCGGTACAATCTGCTGGTTAATTTACCGTTTGGCTCGATCCGAGCCTGACAATTCCTTATTTATTCTATTTCTCGTGTTCTGTGTTTATGTACGATAGCTTATGCTTATAACACACATTTTCCGAGTATCGATTCAGTCCCTGGATTATATTATTCTTACTTGTAACAGCTCTAGGCAGAATGTTTGAAATACGTATTTTTGCGATATTAAATTCTGCCCACAATGTTTCAACAAATTCTTCGATGTCTTTTGTGACACTGTAAGAGTTTACTGTGTTGATGACATAGTTAGTACCAGTCAGTAGAACAACCTTGTCTTTCTTCTTTTGTCTTTTTCAGATTTATCATATTTTCTTTCCCTCAGTGACGGTTCGAGGAGTCAACGCAAAAACTGTACCTCTCAATTCAACGGGGATTTTACATCCTATTGTTCGAAGAGTAGTGCAATACCTACATCAGAATAGTGCAATACCTACATCATCTACGCGCTTTTGTATTTGTTTGCACAGTGTTTGGTGTAAAGATCTTTTTACCACTGTATGATCCTGTAATATGACTCAGATTACGGATAAAATAAAAAAGATGTTGCATGACCTTTAATAGTTTATACCTAGCTGATATGGAACCAAATATTTACTTTTAAACTACTACAAAATCTAGTTCTTTGAAGCGCTGAGGCATCCGTATATTTTCGTTAATTTATGATGCAGATGAATTTTAGTTGTGTTATCTATCATCTCCAGGATACCAATTGTACAAGTTTTAATTATATGTTGTCCATTCTGTAAATATTGTTGATTGTGACTAAAATTATGGCTTTACGGATTTAATTTGGAATATTTGTTCTGATTATAATACTAATTTTGATGTCCTGCACAGCAGATCGAAGCATTTTTAATTTATTTACTATTTCTATTATATTGCTGTTTAAATTTGACTCTAATTCTAATTCTAATTTGTAAAATGCTTTCCTGTCTCAAACTCAATACCGGGGGACTAAAGTGTTCATACAGTGATACACTAAAGCCCGGGGTCCCGGGTCCCCAAGTAAGCAAGTAAGAATAAGATAGAGAGAGAGTTGCAAGTTCAAAAATTGTGAATAGTTGAGGGTTAAGCTTTTCTGTTAATTGTTATCACATCATCGAAGAAGTTAGTATACAACGTCAAATAGTCTAGAACCTTCTAAATGTGACTCTACCGCACACGCGGTAACAATTAAGTATTGCATCTATCACCTCGCGCACGCGAGTTCTTGTCGTACAGTTGCACCTGAGATTTCTCGCGAATCTCGCAATTCGGATGACACCCACTATAGTGAAGCGACCGTGGGGGTCACCGCGTGATACAACTAAAAACGTTTTATCAAGTTGAACTTAACGTAATATGTATTGATTGTTTTGTGAACTCATGTACAATGTTACTATTATTGGGCGGCGTTCAACCTGTCATTCCGCCTAATCTTTATTTGTGTTTATTATGAACATTGTAGGCTTGGGTCCCCAAGTAAGTACAACAGGAAAACAACAATTTAAACAGAACAACGTAATTTAGTAAATGCTCTTACGTAGTAGGAATTTTAATCAAATACATTTTTACTGAGTCTGAACCATTATTAAAAATAGGACTATCGAGACTTATAGCAGATTCCAAATTACTCGTAAAATAATTGTTTCAAATATTAGACCGTCGACGAGTTCAACTCAGCGCGCGTCTTGATAGGTTATAAACTTACAAATTCCAAATTACCATGCCACATTTCATATAAATTTAATTACTTTCCTGAGGTATTATTTGCAAAACACTGTAAGATCACGAAACGTATTGACGGATGTTACTCGTCTAAATTTCTTCGAAGTAGCGCGCGCCGCTTTCATTGACATACGTTGCATGCCACTTTTCGCGCGCATGTATCAACGCTTTCAAGAAACGCATGACCACAAATTATTAATAGCTTGCTTGTTTGCGATATTTTATGTTGTATTTAATTGACGATGTCAATTCATGGCAGCTCGGCGCGGCACAGTAGCGCATCTCGCACAGTAGCGCATCTCGCCGATCTGTCGCTGTGAGAAGCCTTATTTGTTATTAAGTGCGCGGCGCGGCAAAGTAACGCATCGCGCTACAAATGTTGTATGTATTGTAAAAGAATTACTAAAACAAATGTGGGATATGCGCGGAGTAGAGAAACTGCAAAATGTCACGTCCAACGTTACTGGGCGGCGCTCAGCCTGTCATTCCGCCGAACCTTTTATTTATTCGAGCTGAGTGAATTACGATCTCCATCGCCCTGAAAAAAGTGCGAATGCTCATTGGATGTTAGAGCGCACGTGACCGTTCAGAACCAGTTACAGCCGCGCAAAAGATCACGGCACGCCAACAGCCAACTACCAATAAGAAAAAAAAGTGACGTATGCGCTACAAGAGCCGCGCGCTGAGTTAGATTGTAAAATCTGATCATTTGATTGTAAAATTGCATAAACGCGCCTATTTGCGCGGTTTAGAGGGTTCAATTACGCCAGGCTATGTTTATGAACATAATAGCCTGGGGTCCCCAGGTAAGTCTAACGTCACGTAAAAGAAATTTTAAAATAGTTGTATACATGTGTAGGGTAACTGGAAATATTTAGTTTTTACTGGTCAATGGTTGCTTATTTTTGACCGTTTTAGTCTTACAAGTAAAGTAAAATCCTTTAAGTGCGCGCAAGGCTATACTGGTTTAGCAATCACCAATGATATTCACGCCGCGCACTTGTTAAAACAGTCAACCAGAAGATCGTCATGAAAATCGAGCGTCGTTCAGTAGTTCTCCAGGAATTTATCATATTTAAGTTAATATCATAAATTGTTGATCACAGTTGTGAGTTAGTGTGCTCGTGATGTACGAGAGACATCAATTTCGTTTCTGATATATTTGTCAAATGTCATAATATATAATATATATATCCTACATAATATATCCATCCTACTTTAATATATAATATATAATAACATCTATAAACAAAAGAGCACCTAAAGAGGCCCAGCAAAGTGCTGGCCTATTTACGCTTACGAAGACTCATTCGTTCAATATGTCTCAAAGTAAATAAACTCCTCCATCCTACTTTATCTCTTGCTAAGTTCACTAAGTTGGTAAAATCATCTTCATTTTTCAAACAAATTTGTCTCTTAAATAGGTCCTTTTTCACAATAATATCATACAAATTAGTCCTGTGTCCACCCACTCGTCCCTTTAGCGTTTGACATCCTAGTGTAGCAAATAACAGAGAAATGTGATAATAAATTGATATAAATCAATAAATGCCTTGGAACTCTCACAAGTAGTGCAAACACAATACATAATAGGACATTTAAAGAATTTAAATCTTGTGGCTGTTTCCCTGTTCATCCTCATGCAACCGTTAATTACGGATTTCTCCACTATCTGCTGTAGAGGATAGCACAAAACTCCCAACACAACTCCCGTGACAGATGTAAGAACTGCTCCATGCGACTATGATCGACTACATACTAATGCAAATCGTTACAATTTACAGTGATTCTGTACTGAAGCGTCTGGCACCTTAAATTAGGAGTCTTTCTGCAGGCAGTTAATTCGATTATGTGTTAATGATTCGTGACCACTGGGCACTTATTTGAGCTGCACGTATAGAGGAACCCCGTTTATTCGTATCAACTTCATCCAGTTTTGTTAACCCCCATCAACATTCTATCTCAAATTATTGATATCATAATTTATCCAGCCTCCTTCTACTGTTTGCAAAAAAGAAATAAAAAGACTTCAACCAGAAGAGACTAGATGTGTAGTGGTGGCTTTGATAGCTTGTAATGTTTTAACATGGTTCTAATAGTTTTAACCTGGTTCTACTTCTAGTTGAAGCACACAAGTACAAGTAGGTTGGTGGCTCAACATTCGTTTGTGTTGTGCTCTCCCATGTGCATTTAAGGAATGTAAGGTTCTTGAAACATATACGATAGTTCGTAGTAAAGTGTGCTAATCATCTTCAGAGGAATCTATTTGCTGCTTATAGTTATGTTTTCTATAAATTACTGTTCCATTTCTTTTAACCATCTTAGGTACTAGTTTTTTAATGTACTGGAGGTGATTAACATGTTCATCATTTGAATAATGTAATCATGAAGTATTTACTCATCAAGCAGCGTTATGCTAAGTCATGCATTGATATTTTATGTTGATTGAAATAACTAATAATAACCAAGTTAGCCCAAGTTATTTAGTACGTAAATAAATCGATAAATTGACGACAAGTTGTATTATATATTAAAGTCACTATTGTGACGGTACATTAGAACTAGACAGAAACAAAGTGTGAAGGGCCTGAACGGAACCTCTCGGTTTCAGTTCCTTGTTTAACACTGCCATACAGCAAGGACATCCACCGGGTTCTCCAAGGATGGGTGTACTACTAGTAGGGTGTACTACTAACAGCTTACGATATGATTTGCTGCATCATTTACAGCATCATCTATCGTTCCAAATATAACTGACACAAATATTTACCAATAAAGTGCTTTAAAAAATCTGACTGAATTTATATTTATTATTCATTAATTTATTAGGTGCTATTGCAGTTAAATTTTGTAACATGAACTCAACTAAACAGTTTTAATATTGTAGCATGCACTGTAATATTGTGAGAGTGTTGTGTCAATCATTCTTACACATCAAAAGTTCTGTTGGTGTGGGTTTTAATTTAATTTATTAGTGTAAATAGAGAAAAGTTTATATTGAGAATTTAATGGAACGAATTTATTTATTGCAAATTTTAAGGACTATTAATATGTTATAAGTATTTGTTTTCACTTTTGCACGTTTAGGCAGTTGCTCTTGTGACCAGAGCTAGGGTTTTATAGTCATATATATTATATATATCATTCATTATTTGTTCATTTCATTGTTGTAATGTGTGCATTTCTCAATGAAATTTAAATAACAGAATCCGTAATTTTGAATGATAAAGTAACACCGAACTTTAATAATAGGGAAGGCTCTTGAGATCTCCATAATGCTGGCTGCTCGTCTCTGTACCCGTGCTGCTATTGCTCGACCTCTCATTAAACCTCTGGCATGTGCTCAGCCAGTCTTTGCAGTCCGGACTTTCCAGACTACCCCTCAGGCTCTCGATGAAAGTCTCGAACAGGCTTGCAAGTTTATTGGAGCAGGTTTGTACATTTGTATTTTTTCTTGAATTTGAGTTTACAATGTCATTTAAATCACCTGCAAAATGATTTTCCTTGAATTTGTACTTCAATAATTCTATTGGGTTCCTAAATGAGATACAAATCGTGTCTTGAAGTAAGTTTGCCAAATTCCCAGAATTAGAACTGCTAAATTTCGGTCTGAAAAAGTGGGTCTTCTAGATACGAGACAGAATCTAATCCCTGTCGATCACTAATACTGAGCTGTGGCTGGACTTATCGTATATTATAAGCTTACGTTCGGTCGTCAATTGGCGTATCAGATCGTTTTCAATCTTAAAATTACGCGTTACATGAGATAATCGTGCAAAAGCTTTCTTACATCAAGTTAAGCAGAAATTCGCCGCAGTTATCGAATTTTGATTTTCTTAAGTGTGCAATTTCTTTATACCCACGACTTTCAATACCATGTTTAGAAAAATTACTATTCTACTCGCATGCTATTTTAAGTGTTATAGTATACTGTACTTCCCACTGTGAATAACGGGTTCTCAGCAATTATCTATTAATTCTATCTGTATTAATTACTACCGACGCTCACTTCAAATTCGATTATGGGCACACTCTCCCATACCTTTTCATTGGACCTACATGCTCATGACCCTAGAGCTAGAGCCTCCTCAAATTTCAAAATTATATCTGAGTTCGCAACCCTTGCATACTACAATTGTTGAGGGTTACATTTTTTCTCAAGATGGGGTAAAATGGGGCAACATATCTTGAAATTGCATTTAAAAACGTATTAGAGTAAGTATAAATTTACTCTCAAATTTAGTCCTATTTCACCCAAAAAACAAGGAAAAATTTGGACTTGGGGTTTGGGAAAAATGGGGTTGGAACCGTATACCACGGATGTCTAACGGTAATTATATTTCAGGATGTGCTACAGTTGGAGTAGCCGGATCCGGAGCCGGAATTGGAACAGTATTCGGATCTTTAGTAGAAGGATACGCCAGGAACCCTTCCCTTAAAACTCAACTCTTCTCCTACTGCGTTCTTGGGTTCGCTCTCTCCGAGGCTATGGGTCTTTTCTGTCTCATGATTGCTTTCATGATCCTCTTCGCGCTATAGACTGTTTTAGATAATTTATTGAACCTTTTATAAGTTATATTTTGTGGTTGATCATGATTCTGTTACATAACTTTGAAGTGTCATTCTAATTAAGGTGCAGGTGTTACCTAGTAACATTTGCTTTGTAAGCTCATATTTCTCGATATAAAATTATGGAAATTTGATAAGAGCTGCTGTGTCTTACTGAAATTGCTCTTGCTTGCCAATATTATCAACTATCAAGCACATATAACGCAAAAACATCAATCTTTTAACTGTAGTCGAATCTTCCAAATTGTGCTTATCAAATGTTGTATGCGTAGTTATGACACACATTGTACGCTCAATATTAAAGAAATGAAACGTACAGATTTTATAAAATCACTTTTAACCCGAACGTGTCAGTAGGGGAGACATGGCTAATTCCAATGCGGAAGATCTGGGGGTCATGGGTATTGTGGAAGATGTTGCACACAAGTAAGTCAAGTAAGTCGCTTTGCAATATGTTTCTGTTCCACAACTGCTTTATCATTTCTTTAAAATACTTTTCCATAATTGCATACCTAAATCTGCTAAAAGGTGGACTCAAACGGCTGTTGTGCTCATGCTTTTAAAAGCCTTGTTAATTTTTCGCCGACCAACTATTTCATGGCCAAAATTTTAGCCGATGATAATCTTCACTGTTCAAATATTTTCCGCTATATTTTTGATGAAGTAATAAAATCCATAAATATGTATTATTCCTCAATTTCATGAAAATGTTATTGAAAGTTTATATCGAAGCCCATTACTTGGACAGGTTTTGCGCATTACATTCTCAATAAATTAGTATCCTTTCTTCATATTTGCTCTTTTGAATTATTATTTAAACCTGAATTATTGCTCCCAATGAAATATTTGCTCCTAATGAGTTAGCCGCCCGGTATCTTAGCTAGTCTCTATTTTCGGCGACTAAATTACAGCCGATTTAAAGTTCAAAATAAGTATACACTATACTTTAAATTTGAAGGTATACTTGCAACAATCTTTTGCATAAAACCTGATTTGAATATCTGGCTGAGATAACTTTTGTGATAACTTTTTCATAGTACTCTTATAAGTACGATCGCATAGTATTTTGCATCAATGTCTGCTGAAGCTGTTAAGCGTGGACGGTTTCATTATTCGTTCCTTCCTGATAAATGGAAATTCCGCATACAGGCTAAGAGTTCATGAATCCGAGATTTTGGAAACATTTTGGAAACATGTGTCAGAATTGTGTCCGATTTGGAAACATGCCCTTGTAGCCGCAATTATGCCTGGACTGACTTGAAATCGATCTGGTATGGTAGAGGGACATGTGTACTAACATTTCTAACCACTCAGAAGTGCGAAATATTGCCCTGGTTCATGGAATGAACGAAATGAACAAAAAATGAACATTGTCCTAGAATCGCCTAAAATGAGCTGAAACCGATTGGGATTGATTGGTATTGATACCACAAGTGTCCCTGACAAGTTTGGTGGGTCTAGCATGTCCGGAAAGGGCTCTGGGGCAATGTTTCCATTTTGGTGTCAGAGTAGTTGAGCTCGTGGAAACATTTGTGTCCGATTTGGAAACATGCCCTTGTAGCCGCAATTATGCCTGGACTGACTTGAAATCGATCTGGTATGGTAGAGGAACATGTGTACTAACATTTCTTACCACTCAGAAGTGCGAAATATTGCCTTGGTTCATGGAATGAACTAAATGAACAAAAAATGAACATTGTCCTAGAATCGCCTAAAATGAGCTGAAACCGATTGGAATCGATTGGTATTGATACCACAAGTGTCCCTGACAAGTTTGGTGGGTCTAGCATGTCCGGAAAGGGCTCTGGGGCAATGTTTCCATTTTGATGTCAGAGTAGTTGAGCTCGTGGAAACTTTTGTGTCCGATTTGGAAACATGTCGTTGAAAAGAATGAGAAGTGATGGTGGACCCCTAAACGCTCTCAAACGTGTCACTGAGTGCCCAATTGAATTAATTCTTTTTGGTATGACCTACTACCACACTGGTTAAAATCGAAAAATATTCGTGATCATTTTTTTCAAATGAATAGAAGGTTCATTTTCGCATTTATACCAAATGTTATTGAATGGTGTTTGGTCATTTATATTACGTTTGTCCTGAAAAAATGAGTTCTAGCTTCTCAGATAACCGAGATATGAAGATAATAATTTTATAGATAATATCCGGTAGTAGAGACTTATCAAACTATTATTTAGGAGGAAACGCGAGCTTTCAATGTACTACACTTTCATCTGGCTCAAATTATTTGCTATATAGTAGTGTTGAAAATATTAAGACATATGAAGCATAACAAGTTTGTTCATTACATGTGATCAGGTGATTAGGTTGAGGCTAGACCCGCATTATGGGAAGCATGCAGAGAGCCCAATTACGGTTGTCGTAATTGGGTAATCATTGAGTACCCTATCAATTTTGCTAACGAGATAAACAAATTGCTTGATAACTTCGTCATTTTAATTCCGTTTCGCACCATCTTTCAGATTATATTCCGGATTAAATGACCTAGGCAAAATGTTACAACGGAGTCTCTATTAACGGGTGATACTCGTAAAATATCTGTTCCATATATACATATTCCAGGACCGTCGACGAGTCCAACTCGGCGCACGTCCTGGTAGGTTATAAACCTACAAAGTCTCTAACATAGTAACATGTTCACAAACACGAATATAAGAAATTCAATGTTGATTGCGTGTGGCCCCCAAAAATCGAATTTTTAAAATTTTGGTGACGGAATCCTCGAACAAGTAGGTACAGTACAGTATATAATATATATTATAAAACACGGTGGTTATAAGACCCAACGTATGGATACTGAATTTTGTCCCCCCCCCCCCCCTCCCCAAATCGATTCCAGCTCATTTCAGGCGATTCTAGGATAATGTTCATTTTTTGTTCATTTCGTTCATTCCACGAACCAGGGCAATATTTCGCACTTTTGAGTGGTTAAAAATGTTAGTACACATGTCCCTCTACCATACCAGATCGATTTCAAGTCAGTCCAGGCATAATTGCGGCTACAAGGGCATGTTTCCAAATCGGACACAAATGTTTCCACGAGCTGAGTTGAGACACAGTTAATAAACTGCGGAGTGACTAAAATGCTATACAGCAAAAACAGAACGCTCCAACCAAACACTCCACCTACTGATCCTAACCACCCTAACAACTCTCTAGCTCTCTCTCTCTTCAACCCTCATTCCCTCACTCCTCTTGGTGTACAAAACCATTCTAACCTATGTATGTCCCCCCTACGGGTTCCACAAGCCCAACGGTACATAGTTAGACGAAAAACAGAGAAGCCTTGATTGCCAGATCAAGGACTGCATCAGTAGCAGCGAAATACGGATATACCTTCTCCCTTACAGTCAGCGAGCTGACAACTATCTGACTGTGTCTTTTAGGCCTTGCCACACCACCTTCGCTATTGCATCCGCTCGCCCGTATTCACTGACACATCCCACACCTGGGTTTAGTATGAAGATGTACGCATATTCACCCAAGATGCGGAGATGCCTCAGTTTAGCGAGTTGAGATACAACAGCAAACTCACAGGAGCATGGATCAGAATCATCAGTTACCAACCTGACACCGTTTCGGGGCTTTAATCGCAATACGGTTTCCTGTCAGGCGCCCCAGCAGTCCACCCTGCCCCGGACACAAATGTTTCCACGAGCTCAACTACTCTGACACCAAAATGGAAACATTGCCCCAGAGCCCTTTCTGAACATGCTAGACCCACCAAACTTCTCAGGGACACTTGTGGTATCAATACCAACCTATCCCAATCGCTTTAAGCTCATTCCAGGCGATTCTAGGATAATGTTCATTTTTTGTTCATTTCGTTCATTCCATGAAGCAGGGCAATATTTCGCACTTTTATGTGGTTAGAAATGTTAGTACACATGTCCTTCTACCATTCCAGATCAAATCCAAGTCAGTTCAGGCATAATTGCGGCTACAAGGGCATGTTTCCAAATCGGACACAAATGTTTCCACGAGCTCAACTACTCTGACACCAAAATGGAAACATTGCCCCAGAGCCCTTTCTGGACATGCTAGACCCACCAAACTTCTCTGGGACACTTGTGGTATCAATAACAATCGATCCCAATCGGTTTCAGCTCATTTTAGGCGATTCTAGGATAATGTTCATTTTTTGTTCATTTCGTTCATTCTATGAATCATAGAAATATTTCACAGGAAGCTTAAAATGTTAGTTCTCAAGCCACTGTATCATACCAGGGTAAATCCAGCTCTGTTTACGGACATATACAGCCAAAAACATGTTTCCAAATCGGACACAAATGTTTCCACGAACTCGGATTCATCTTCTGCAGGCTAAAAATTTCGCCTATCTGGTTGTAAAAAGCACACTCCTGTGAGCAAAATCTTGACGTTTTTCTGCGCGCGCAGAGTTTTGGACTATGGTAACGGCCCATTATAATGTAAAGGAATGAATCCGTCGAACATTCGAGGCTGTTAGAAATGAGCGGTGTCTCACCGCTATTATTTGCAGGAGCAACGACAAAGATATTGAATTTGATACACTTATCGGACACTTGCAGGATATCGTTTTAGGTGAGTAAAACTTCTGAATAATGACTGTAACTATGGTAATTCATCTCTGCGCCTTAACACTACATTTCTGTGAAATTGCATGCAATTTCCTGCCAAAATTAATTTCCTTGATAACTGATCTATACGTCTTACTTCATCTTAAAGTTACTGTCTTTCCTAGAGGTCGGCTTTCAAGATCTGCAAGATGGATTCTTGTCTGAACATTCCGACGAATTCGACGAGGAAGAAGAAAATAAGCTCGTCTATATGGAAATATACAACAGCTACATAACTAAGATTGAGGGTTACATTTCTAAACGATTAAAAGAGCTTCATCCTAGCTTCCAAATGGATCTTTTATTGTCTATGATTCAGTAAGTTACTTTAAATGATTATTACATACGTTTTCGCCGTTCATCTCCGTGTCCTTCACTTTTTTAACATAGCCTTAGTTTCGATTAGAGTTGGAGTAAAATCTAAACACTTTCTCTTCAGATCACGAAGGGACGAAGTTGATCCAGAATTGTTCGACACACTGGCATCTTTTGCAGACTTCGTCCTATTCAAAGAGACTATGCTCAACTATAAGTCCCAAAGAGACAATGAAATGGGCGAATTCCCCACCTTGGTTGTCACTTCTATGGCATGTGGCCTGCCCAGATCTTAGTAAACATTCCTAGTTAGATTCAGAAATATCCCCAGCTAAATAAAATATTGCTGCTTACAGAATCCCCTTACTTCAGAATAGCGCGCTGTACTTCTGTTGATCAGAGTTTATTTTAACCAAGATTTAAATTGTATGATATGTGTACATTGTAATATATTTTATATGGATTATGAGATATTTGTCTGTTGATTGTCTTAGAGTTGAACAAATAAGAGCAAACAATTTTACTTGTCCGTTACCCAAAACTGGTTCACTTAAAGGCACTCAAATAGTGTCCCTCAAATGAAAATACCTTTATTTGACAAAGGCAAGTACAGGCGTTAATTTCACCATTGTAGTCATGCGAATCCCAGTTATGCAGCCCAAAGAACTAGGGCCGCTTAGGCCGATGGAATTAATTCGCACACTGCTATTGATGGAAGCAATACAAATACAAAATATGGACAAACTATTATATTTTAAAACTAATCTGCTGTGAATTTGTTACTGTATGTAGCGAAAGTGACTCTTACTAGATACCAAATCGTTACCTATTGAGGAACAGTTCTTTTGCCAGATATCAGAATCGAACATTCTGGTGAATGTTAAATAATTAATATGCTTATGGGAAAATCTACTGGTCGCATAATACATAGTATTATTATTTATACTTTATTAAATTACAAAGTAAAGTATTATTCAAACATTAAATTTCTTCTATCGTTGATTACCTTGGATTTGGGAACCTCTTACAGTTTCACTCAGTTTACCTATAAGATGTAAGGGTCAGACATGATTATTAACTGTCTTCTGGGGCTCATACAGGATCTGAACGTGGCGAGTATTAGTAAATATTTCTTTCATTGACAACTGAGCAAATGATCACATAGGGGGGGGGGGGGGGGGGAACCAACGGGCATTAATGGCAGTATTTTAAAATTTTGCTCAGACTGCCACTGCCATTAATGCCCATAATGCCCATTAATGCACATTAATGCCCATATTTAATAGAAAAATCGAAACCATGAGACACGTGCTTTCTCGACAGTAGTAGTTCTCTATCTCAGATGGCAGTCTAATACACAGACCACATGAGCGTCAGCTTTCAATCGGTACTAGAGCACTGAGGCGAGATCCTTCCGGGATGTATGATCCTTCTTCGTCTGTATCAGTATCGCATGATCCATAGCATTGCTGGCTAAGCTCGGGTGGGCGACAATTGACCCCCCCGACAATTGACCCCGACAATTGACCCTAACCCTGACCCTAACCCTAACCCTAAGTCCTAACCCTAACACTAACCCTAACCCTAACCCTAACCCTAGGCCTAACCTTGACTCACGATGTCAATCCTTCGCAGCTCGGTGAGGCACAGTGGTGCATCTCGCCGATCTACCGAAGTGGTTGCGAGAAGCATTATTTGATGCGCGCGCGACCCAGTAGTGCATCGCGCTACAAACCCTAACCCTAACCCTTACCCTAACCCTGACCCTGACCCAGGACCCTGACCCAGGGTCAGTGACCCTAGGACCCAGGACCCTGACCCAGGACCCTGACCCAGTACCCTGACCCTGACCCAGGACCCTGACCCAGGACCCTGACCCTGACCCTGACCCTGACCCTGACCCTGACTCTGACCCTGACCCTGACCCTGACGCTGACCCTGACCCTGACCCTGACCCTGACCCAGGACCCTGACCCTGACCCTGACCCTGACCCTGACCCTGACCCTAACCTTAACCCTGACCCTGACCCTGACCCTGACCCTGACCCAGGACCCTAACCGTACCCAGGACCCTGACCCAGGACCCTGACCTAGGATCCTGACCTAGGACCCTGACCTAGGACCCTGACCCTAACTCGATCAATTGACCCCAGTGTAATTACATGGGGGGTCAATTGTCGGGGGTCAATTGTCGAGGGGTCAATTGTCGGGGGGTCAATTGTCGTACTAAGCCCTAGATTTCACGACAATTGACCCCAGTGTAATTACATAAGGGGTCAATTGTCGGGGGGTCAATTGTCGTACTAAACCCTAGATTTTGCGACAATTGACCCCAGTGTAATTACATAAGGGGTCAATTGTCGGGGGGTCAATTGTCGCGGTACCCTAAGCTCTTGGTCACCTGGAGAGGGGGCAACCTAATTTATGTCAGAAACAACAGAAACAACCTTATTATAGCTGTAGGAGCAGTGTTATTTTAACCAAGCAAGGTGGGCACAAACGTGACGTCACAAGCTCAGTGGGGAGCATAATTAGATCTCCCAATATCTCGGGATAGGAAGCAGATAAAAAGGTCCGGTTTTGACTAATCTTAGTTATATGTTACATAACAACAATATATTAAAATATAAGGGTGGGTTATTTTTGGGCGTCATGAACCTTTAATAAGGTCTGTAGACAGGATATTTATTGTAGGTATGAAATAGACGTGACCTGAAAGTTTCAAAAGCGAATAAAAAAGTATGGGCATTAATGGCAGTATTTTAAAATTTTGCACAGACTGCCACTGCCATTAATGCCCATTAATGCCCATTAATGCCCTATGGTTCCCCCCCCATCACATACATACTCAACATAGGCTTAAGGAATAACCTTACGAATTACGATATGAACCTAGTACTCAGTTCCCATTACATGCATGATCTAACTATGTGCAGGAAAAAATAAGCTCAGCGTGGTAAAATAAGCTCACATTCGTGTGATTTTGCCTAACATGGTGATTTGGAACCGGCCAATAGATACGAACATGTGACCGACCTACGTCGCAGCCAGCTAGCTTAAACTAGCTGGATTGTAAATAATAACAGCACCGTGCGTGCGCAATGATAGTAATATATTTACAGCGTGTTCCAGCAGCACCACGCGCGCGAAGTGCCCTTCGCCCACATATTGTCACAAGGCAAACATTTTAGAACGGTCGAATAAACGAGTTCCCAGTAATTATGAGCTGAACTGCGTAACCATAATTAGTATCTTAAAACGTAGTACATGCTACAGAGCACAGTCTATGTGTATCAGCCATCTCTGAGATCACCAAACAACAATTATCAGTCTCTGATAACTTTCGTAATACTGTACATGTATGTAAGACAGAAGAAGGAAAAAATAGAGTTTTGCGATGACATAATAAATCAAAATAGCAAATCATATAGGACAATCTTAACCCATAAAACAGATACAATAATCCGAACATTAAATTGATAAAGACTTCTTGGCCAGCAAGACTATTAAATTACTAAAATTAGTAGATAAAATTACTTCTTTTTAAAAGATCGGATAATTTGGCAAGCCTTCTCGATAGTCCCATCAGACTTAGCAAAGCACACCCTGATATATTTAGCAGCAAGATGCCTATTCTTATCTCCATAAAACACACTAATCGGGATAGTGGCCAGCTTGAACTCCCTGGTCAGCCACTTGACACAGTCCACATCGTAGCACCTCCCAGTTTTCAGATCTGTAAAATCCCAGCCCATGGTAGCCGTGTCCACCAACATGAAATAGCCACCATCAGGCCAGACAGGGGTGCAGCCTATGTCAGAAAAAGCATCAGCCAGCATCTGGCAGTTCTTCTGAAGTTGAGCTGACAACCACTTGAAATATGATTCATCAGTCTGGGCTACGCCTCGCTCGTACTCGAACGCACCCGCAACTGCTTCTTGAAGGAGGGTGGGAGCGGTAAAGGTGGAGCAGGAGGAGACATGTTGGAGTTGAGAGATGAGGTTGGCAGGACCCAGAGCCCAACCTATCTTCCAGCCGGTAACACTGAAGGTTTTGCCAGCGCTGCCCACAGTAAGTGTTCTCTCCCACATATCTGAAATATTACTGGTCAGCCGTAGTGGCACATTTGAAAGACATGGTGACTAGAGCGTTAATAAATGTCAAGCTAGGTCATCATACTTTTAACACTACTTACGTAGATGTGATGACAGTATTTTAAATTTTATTACTTTCAACACTACCACTATAACCCATATAACAGATAATTGTAGATGATTACAGACGTTTCCGTTGGAAAATTACTACTGCATTATATATAAAAGTTGCACCTAACTAAGACTCATTACTCAATAAGCAAAGCAGAGGAATACAATTATTATCTAACAGTGGAATAACATGTTCAAATACCAGGTAAACCACCGATTCGCACATGTTCGTTTTCGTCAAATACCACACGCTCATAAACTTCGTCAGAGAGGATGATTACGTTGTGTTTCTTACACACGGACCCAATGTACTCCAGTTCCTCTCTCGTGAACATTTTACCTGTCAAGTTGTGCTTTATTGAGTATTTTAGTAACTATAAGAAGTGCTTTATTGAGTATTTTAGTACACACCAACTTTAAAGATGACAAAACTAAATAGAACTTTACACTGACCTACTAAGATTAAAAAGATAACAAGAAAGTAGATGACACCCCCAAAAATAAGGAATTCATCCGAGGAGTAAGAATTATATAATAGTATGTATTAAGATTTTGTAAGATTAAAGAAGTTACTCACCGACAGGGTTGTGGGGTGTGGTGGTTATCAGGAGTTTAGTTCGTTCACTAAACGCCGCCTCAAACTCTTCCTTATCTAACTTCCAATTCTTGGCAAACTTCTCGTCACCTGATAACATTGAACTCATCACTACCAAAGGTCATCTCAGTTAAATTCTGATAATGTACTAGGTGAAATAACATCAATATATACATATATTATTTGACGAGCACCGGTACGGGGGCAATGTGAGATCAGTAAATTGAGAGTTGAGTAATGGATGATGTTCTCCGGCTGTTAATAACTCACCAGTAGGTCGCAGTGGTACTCTCACTAATTTACCACCACTCAGCTCCATGTCCCCAGCATAGCAGTCAAAGTGGGGCTCAATGATTACTGCCTGAAATATTGTGATGAGATAAAGCATGGTTGTAGTACGAAGAAAGTTGCCCATGTTATACAATAAACAATCGTATACAATTTGTATTAGCTTTTCGAAATCGATTTTGCGGCTTCGATATACTGTAATATACTTTAATACGGTCATCGCCCCACCCGTAATTTATTAGATTATATTAAGGGGGCCGGGGGTCTTCTTTAAAATTCTCTCGAAATTGATTTCATAGTTGTTTCTGATAGAGGGGAGTGAAATCTATCAGAAAGGTCAGCGCTTATGTGTAATTATTTTCAATCCAGGTCCAAGATTTTCAAAATCGAATAAAATATTTTCTAAGGCCTATCTCAAAATTCGGCTCGACTGGTCTCTTCTAAATGATCCCTAGAACATATCCTGAAAGTGTCAGGGTGATCGCCCTAAAAATGTAGGAGAAGAAAAATCGCTTGCGCAATACAATTACACATAAGCGTTGACCTTTGACCGGCGATAATTTTGGCTAGGAACAATATTTTTCCATGGGACTAAAAGCAGCTGATAGATATCACTCCCCTCTATTAGAAAAAATCTATGAAATCAATTTCGAGAGAATTTTGATGAAGACCCCCCCGGCCCCCTTGACTCAGTACTATCCTTTATGTCTGTCAAGTATCAACAGTTAAGTGCTACATGAACCAAGTGACAGTACTCTGTCTTATTTTGCGCTATGTTCAGTCTTAAACTGGCTTCAACCCAAGGCTGATGGTACGAGTAATTATGGAGGAGTTGTTGCATATACCCATGCGCTTATCATTATGTATTCAACATATTGTGGCGCTATGATACGCTCCAACTTATTCTCTCAGTTCACGTGGGTACACATAACCCAAATTAGCTGATCTTGCGTCTTACAAACTGGTGTCATGTACAACGATCATCAGAGAACTGGGAACGCGCGCACGTGGCTAATTTATAAATTACATTTCATATAATTGACGGGTTATGGTTTTAAAACAGTGTTTATCGAACAGTTTGACCTTTTTCTTGTAATAACCGCAATTATTGTGTAGTATAATAACATAAATAATATATAAATAACATGAATAATATACACTGTTAAATAGCGCTGAACAATGGAGCTTGATTTGCGTTATACTCAGCCACTAGTCTGATTTCACTCCCGCCGGATAAATTTTGTGTTGAGTAGCAAACTGAGAAGACAAAGGATATATTTTCAAGAGAAACGCCTCTTCAGATTATACCATGTTTCTTTTGTGGGTTCTCTTGTTGGCAATCGATGCATCGCCATCTGAGAACACAAATTTTACTCGTTTAGTTGACTATGAAATCGAACCGTCATCCAATGTGCAGTGGGGTGAGGACTATGCCTTAACCTGTATTTTAAAAGATCGCCAAGCTAGCCACGCATTCTGGCTCAGAAATGGGGAGAACCTTGAAAAAAAGGCCCAGAACAAAACAAGACAGAATGGATTCCTAAGAGTGACCTACAAGATACAGAACTTCAGCAGTATGGATCTGGGGAACTACAGCTGCAGATGGAGGTTTAAAAGAAAAGGCTTAGTTTATACTCGGCAAGGCAAGGTACTGAGACTGGTTATCACACCAAAAAAGAGACAAGACCGGGCAGATGAAACGGAAAAAACGGAGCAGATTACTCCCCAAAGTAAACCAGACCAGAATGATGACCAAAACGTATCCACAGCAGATCCGGCTGCCACAAATAACCAGACCTCAAAAGATGCTTCAACATTAACAACCCTTAAACCTACAACCACGCCAATTGCGGAAAGAAGTATCTGTAAGATGTTGAAAGTAGATCATATCTATGGATGGAATCAAGATAAATATAGGGCAGGAGATGTGCTATCCATCCCAAAAGGTCGCCTGATGAACGAAGTGCTCACGATAAAGGCACGATACATCTTCTACAATCGTTATAATAACTTAAACCGGGGTAACGAATATGGTTCATCCTGGGATAATACAGATTGGAGCTCTCACAAAAAAAGAAGGGGAAACATGAACAAACCTGCCAAAAGAAGGAGCGGGGATATCAAGGGTTCAGAAGAAGCCCCAGATTTTAATGGAGCTCCCGATGAAAGATTAGAGAACCAGGAAGATATGACACCCGACGCGACCCCGCCCGCGCCCTCTCAGATAGCTACTAAAATAGACCCCACACAAGAGATCGTAAATTCCAAGATAAAGACCCAGACTGAAACATTCAAGGTCTTATCACTCAACCAACCGGAAGATTCCTTTCACCAAAAAGGCTCAATTGAAGTTATCATCAAAAAAACTACAAACAGGAGAATCGGTCAAACTAGGGCAGATTGGTTCGTCGACGGAACCAAAAAGTACCCCTTCAATGACGGCTACAACGAAAGCCCGCTCTGGTTGGAGGATAGTACGGAACTGAAGCTCCAACTGAGGTACAATCCTGAGATTGCATCGTTAGAGATAATAACTTCACAACAGACTGGCCAACTGAGATCCATCAGGATACCCCCAGAAGATCTCAAAAATTTAACCCAAATAAGTATCGGGGATGATGTCAATGGCGTGTCCATTGACTATATTTCCATCTGCCAGCCAATAAAACCCACAATCTCTCTCACCATGGAAGTCAAAATGGAAACTGTCAATCTGATATGCACTTCAACTGGACCACCGTTTTTGACGGGCTACTGGAAAGTGGGTTATCAGAGGTTCTACTACAATAGAGACCTACCAAATGTTAGATTCACTGAACAATTGAGTGACACAGAAGGACTACAAACGCTGACCCTAACTCTGAAAATTACACCATCATATCTACAAACTAGAAATTACGAGTGTATAGTGTTCAGTACGTCCAATCAGGGGCCTGATAGCAGGGGAATTAAGAAAGTTATCACAGTACGAGGGGAAGACTACAGAGAAAAAGATCCCAACTGTTCGAAATGTGGAGATGGTGGTAGAGCAGCAGCTGAAGAGGAAGCCCGTCAAGCTCGATTAAGGGCAGAAGCGGCAGCCCTTGAACAGGCAGAGAAGCTGAAGACCGCAGGTTATTAGGCGTTTTTAATAAGTTAGATAGCTAATTATTATAAGAATCACATCATTGATATAATTATATATCCTTGCCTACAGTCTTGTATCCAATAAATTAAAAAATGTTCGTGATTGAGAATGATATGTCAATGTTAAATATATGCAAATAAATTAACAAAAATAATTCTCAGAAAAGAAAGAAAAAAGGATGACAATAGCGCTAGGATCAGTCTGTGGCCTCCTTCTCCTCATGTGTTTCCTCCAGTATTACCTTCTTAGACTCTACAAAAAAGAAAAGAAAGTGAATGCAGAGGAGGAGGAGGAAGAGGAGGAGGAGGAACTGTCAGAAGTAACCAAATGGGAGAGGACAGTGAATCGGTACAAGGACTATGGTATGTACCCCGCGACCTACAATCCTGACTACGATGAAATGAGGAGGAAACGATACGGAGAGAATTACAAAGAGGAGCGTGCAGCTGCAGCTGCAGCTAAGGAAGAAGCCGAGAAAACAGGACTTAAAAAAGAGTTGACTGCAGATGAGATTTTGAGGTTGAGACAAAGGGAACTTGGTCTTTTCGATTAGAACAACGTGTGAAAATGGGGACGCGGATTTGCAGATAGGAAAAGGGAAACATAGAAAATCCAGCTGCCACGTTTGGTAAAGTTCCTGGTTTTGCATTTTACCTTAATTCATTCCAGAACATTTCATCGGACTTAGTAGTTATTACAGCTTTCTTGCATTTTCCCTTCAAAGATGATTTTACAGTTTCGTTATTATTACTTTAATAGTTATTCAGAATGATTAATGCATAAAACATGATTATTAACAAATATTTGATTAAAGGGCATTAAAGATGACCAGATTGTTGTAAGAGCCAGTAATTGAACTTATTTAAATTTGAAGGAATCTTAGGATGAGGCTTTTGATTTGCACTCCAAGAACTAAAGTCTAAATACCTTTGTTTTTTCAAGTTTATTACGTTATCTGGCGGGCCAGAATAGATTTTACCGTTGTTTGCCATCGATGATCAAATATAGTCAACATATGAACTTGAGCTATGGGCAGATACGTACAGAAAAATTCGAATTCTGAAGATCATGTTTTGAAAAATCTTAAATTAAAACTTCTATAATATGTTACACGTTTTCTTGGTGACACGAAGACTTTGTAAAATTTGGTAATAAAGCTAATCTTTCACATCCGTCTTAATGGCCACCGTAGTAAATTTAATTTAGATGACCGAAAAATGTATAAACATTCTGCCTTATCCACGCACTGTTTATATTGAGCACAAAAATACCTTTAATTTTGAAACTTTTAGATTTGGGATCGTAAAGAGAACAAAACCAATTTTATTAGATAGAGAAGAGTCAAGATTTTGTTCAAAATTCAAAACTAACGTTTGGGGACTTAATAGAATGGAGATAAAACGGTAATTTGTACATTTTTAGATTTCTTTAATTATCTCACACAGTGCATCTTAACAATTTTGTAATTTATACTTACAACCTGGATCATTTGATACATTTGTTCGTGTTTACAAATAAAGCTGGTATGTAGAAGAGATAATATTATGCTTTTAGTGTTATCGTCGCTACTTTAACGAGATTTCTTAGCGTTATCAATTAACAGTAATGGGACACAGCAGTTCTAAGATCGATTAGTGCATTTTTGTTTGATAAGTAGTTCTAGTCACTGCTTATCAGCTTTACTAAAGTGTTTAGTTTGTTTCATACTATACTATAATTTTCCGAATGGAGTTGTACAATGTAGCCCATCCATAATTACTTGTACATGCTACGAATTTTTTTAACGTTTGAGTTAATAAACTATGATGATTATATAATATGAATTTTACTTAATAGAGTGCTTATCTTATAGTTACATTTTTTACAGGCTCTAATTATGTAGTTTTACGAAGATTTCAAGCCTTACGTTGTGTGTTTCCCTTCGTGTCCAAAAGCATTATAATCTTTATAATGTTTTACCCATTTTCACCATTGATGAAAATTGGAAAATCAATTAAATTATCTATTCTCTAACGGTGTGTTTCTTGTATATTCTATACAAGACAGAAACAGTACCTATCTTGGACCAAACGAGAAATGCTCTTTAAAGCGGGTTCTCGTACAAAGTTACCAAGTTATCTGTTCCTAGTTAATCAAATGTCGCTAGATACTTGTCAAGTCAGTATTTAGCCATCAATTCTAAAGAGTTACGATAACGAGGTCTGAATCATACACAAACTAATCAAGAAGGTCTCCTCACCTCATCTCCCTCGTTGATGAAAGCAGTGATAGCAGCGTAGATAGCTTCATAAGCACCCACAGCAGTCATGACCTCCGTCATAGGGTTAATGTTCCTGTTGAAGAGAGGAGAGAACTCTGTTGCTAACTCCTTTACTAGTCGGGGGTGCCCCTGGGCTCGTGTGTACCTGAAATAGATACTCAGTGTGGGTGCAGGTACTTTTAGTTTTATACCTCACTTTTGACTTTCTTCTTTGTATGTATAACTTTGGTTACTGGTTAGATATTATCGTATCAAGGGCTGAAGTTGTGGTAGCTGACTGCTGAGCAGTCTGATATTGACACTACAAAACACTAACTGTCTTTTGTGTTCAGTTTGAGGGACACTGCCGAGTTATTTGTAAATCACATCACTTTTAAAGCTAACAATAGTATCAATATTCAATAACCCAATACTTTCTTCATGGTTCGACAATTCTGCGATTTCAATCATCATTTCAAACACAATTTGTCTTTTATTAACTTCTAACCGAGTCTACTCATATTGGAGATTAAACACATTACACATGCAGGCAAGCACATTTTGGAACACATAGTGTAGCAATTATTAATGATGAATTCCAGGAGAAACATAAATTAATAGGTATAATGATTAATGATCACAGCGAGCTTATCAATCATGAGCCCATGATGGCAGTAGATTAAACTTTTAAAATTAATCCCAGACAAAAGTGTCTAACTGTCTGATAATTACCAGTTAGCAGCGGGTTTAGCCACAGCTTTACGGACTTCTTCTTGCAGAAACTCAGGGACTACAAAGTCCGGGAACCCTTGTCCGATATTTGTTGCTTTGTGCTCATTCGCTGAAAAAGTAATGATCATTGTACTCTCACGCCAATGAGTTCTGAGTTACATTAAATTAAAAAGTAGGTTGTTTTATGGGACCTTTACCGATAGTTGAAATTTGACATCTAGCGTCATGACTCATGTAGCGTGAAATGACGCCAGATGATGATAGATGACGCTATCTAGCGTCATTTAACGCTAGTTACGCGACACTGTCGCCAGGCGACAGCTAGCGCTATTTGCACTGAATTTCGGGCCTTTTTGTGGGCGACATCTAATTATTCTAGCGCTGTCTAGCCAGAAATTCTATCCAAAAAGCGCTAGCTGTCGCCTGGCGACAGTGTCGCGTAACTAGCGTTAAATGACGCTAGATAGCGTCATCTACTGTCATCTAGCATCATTTCACGCTAGATGACGCTAGATGTCGAATTTAAACTATCGGTAAAGGTCCGTTTTATGCTGATTATATTTATATTATGGTACGAACCTAATTGTTTAATAAACTTACCTAGTGAAGAGAACTCGGCCCAGAGATTGACACCAAAGTTTCTCAGTCTAGATGCTGGTGGTGGCACTGTGCTGTCTAACTTCATCTTTTAAATGATATCTATATAAATTATGAAATTGTTAGTTATACAGCAGAATCAATAAAAAAGGAAATTAAATTTGAAATTTAAGTTGATAGGTAGTTCCCAAACTATAACAGAAAAACAATATTAATTGCTGAACCAGAACACAGTTTTATGCGGAACCATACTTAAGGATTAATGATGAAAGTTTATTACATGATCGTCTAGCATGAGCTGAACAAGTGACAAAACGCCAACATTATCAAAAACGCAGATCAGAAGATTCTCTGTAATATCAATATTATCTGAACAATTGAAACATTGTTAACAAAGATGTCAGACGAAAATTACTTTTGATCATTAAAACGTCGTTTCACTTCTTCAGCTGATAAAAGATCAAATTCCATGTTGCTTTCAAAATGGCCCGATCGTTTAACTTCATACTTTTAAAAAACATCAGTTGTATGATAACGTAAAATATTCAAAATTACTGAATAAATTCTAATTCAAACTTAAGAAGAACGTTAAAAGGTTTTAACATGTGCCTGTTTTTTCGTCGTGGCGGACGCTAGATTTCCATTCACTACAAGCTCTAATCAGTTCAATTCATAATATTATGCTTCAAATACGAAAAACACTAGAACTTAAAGTTTATCTGTAATTTAAGAAATTGTAAGCAAAAAGTGAACTATACTCATGTCTTATACATCTCAGTACAGTGTACACTACGCGTGTCACGTACAAATTGGGCTTATCACTTAATACATTAAAATACAAGCGCGGAAGGAAGGAATGGCAACATATCTAAACCCACCTTCCTCGTTCTCCAAAATCCCTCTTTTTCTGCAAAAACGACCTTTCATAACCTTTCACTTAACATTTTTGCTTCGCAAAATGGTGAACGGAACAAATCAAAAGGAAAAATAAGCATCTCAGAAACTGTTGTTACAATTGACAATTAACTTCCGCCATCTTATTCATGATATTAAGGTGTCTGTGCAGTTATAGCAGATTTTTTAAATATATAAGATACCATATATCAAGGTGCTTTAACATTTATTATATTATGTTCCATTATGATGGCATGACAGGAAGTAACCAGGCGCAACCTGGCTGTGTGCCAAATACTTCTTGGAGGTTCTGTTTCCAAGTTAACCGTAAACCGTTCCCACGTTGCTGTCTCGTTCTTTTACTTTTCTGAAAAATTGATAAATGAATTTACGATGATCGATTTATTTTTTATTTCGTAAATCGTTAATTTCGCACGTTTTCACGTTTCATTTGTATCTAGGCACATGTAACAATTTCAGATTCTCAGAAAGCTATATTCACAAGTCATTCACTTGCTTAGGCTTAGTTCTTCATGGAATATAATATGGGAATATGGATAGTGGATACTGGTAAAAACACATGTAATAAACTCATTATCAGATGTTATTACATGATGTTTTTTCATTTGTATTTTCGCTTTTCAATTAGTAGCGTCTGATCTAGTGATCTTGGCAGACATGATTTATTTCTATATTTCTCATATTCCAGAAATACGCTCGTGATTAAGAATTGGATGCAGCAACACTAGGTCACATTATTACGTGAAAGCTAAGGTTGAGTAGGGTAGATAAAAAGTGTAATATAGCAAGGTTACGTCAAGAAATCTTTGTATTTTCACTGGTAGCGTCTGATCTTGGTACACATCCATATATTTCTATAACTTGCATAAGACTTTTTAACGGTACCAACCGTTGTTAACACGCTTAACAACTCATTTCCTTTAAAAATGTCTACCAACTACGATGACTGCGATCTGTTTGGGATAAAGAATGAGGCTGAGAGATACATCTATGGGAGTTGGCTGACGTTAGTAGTCATATCTTCTCTTCTGGGAGACACCACAATCCTCGTTGCTTCCATAAAGTACAAAGCCTTCCGTCTACACAGGACAGTCGTAGTGTTCATCCAGCATGTAGCTGTTTGTGATATGTTCACTGCTGTAGGCATGCTCTTACCTGTAGTAGTGTCACTGATTTATGACAGCGGTGGTTCTAATGAGGTCATCAAATTCATTCGCTTCTTCATCGGTTACTGGGTGTTCTCTGCGAGCCCACTTCTCATAGGTGCCATGTCAGTAGGCAAGTTTCTTCTGGTGAGATATCCTTTGAGAGCACGGAGCTGGTCCAAAATGAAGACACACAAGCTGTGTGTTGGACTCTGGATATTGTCACTTACTGTTCCAGTGCAGCACCTTCTCGTCGACATGGACGATGTTGTGTTTGACTGCAGGACGTACATGTGGAACTACAGGTACTCCTCCGAGATATGGAACACACTGATGCCGATCACCACCGTGCTGGCTTACCTCACTCCCAATATAATCATCATCATCGCAACAATCCTGTTGCTGACAAGTGCAAGAAGGGTGGCCAAAAGAATGCAGGAAAATCTACGCTGGCAAGGAACCATGGCTGTTGTCATCACTGCAACAATCTTCACCATATCCTTCCTTCCCATTACTGTCTACTTCATCGCTGGACCTCTCCTAGAAACTGATTCCGAGGAGCCAGGGCCGTTTTTCAACAGGTACTACAGAGTGACAGAAGCTGTGCTGTTCACTAACGTTATGGCAAATTTCTTCACGTATGGCCTCACCGTAGCCAGCTTTAGAGATTTCTTAAAGACGAAGCTGATAAAGAAATTATTACCGTGTCTCTCCATCGGTAACCTCTCCCAACTTACTCGGACTTCTCAAGGTAAATACTTCCTCATCTTTGCTTTGTTCAAAATTCAGTTGTTAGCTATAAATCTAAGTACTAGAGCATTTACATAATATGTAATATGTATGGTAATGTGATAAGCTCGAGTAAACATGTGACGGTTATTGCTTATTTAATCACCAATATTTAAACAATTATTTTTTCAGGAGAAACGACAGCATCAACACGAGTTGCAAACGAAGAAAGTAAAGCAGAAGTTGGGATGGTAGCGAAAATGGCGACAGAAGGAGCAACTTCTCAGGAACAAAGTGGCCAGAAAGAAGATGGGCCAGACAGCTCTATCAGACTTATTCGGCATACTTCCGTTTGAACTAGCTTGATCAAAACTGGCACCAGAAGATGATCCAAATAGTTACAGAATTGACTTAATGAAATAGTACAGTTGAAGGATTCGTTGTTGAAGCGATTTCGAATTTTTTATACCTTACAAAGTGAACATTAAGCAAATCAAGATTTAAGAAACTTACATTAAAACCTTAAAAGATGCAATTATATGTGGCAGATGGTTGCATAATTATTATAGATGAGTTTTTGTTTGCTTTTGAGTTGTTAAATTAACCGTTTTGAACGATTGCATTTTTGTTTCGATTTTATAATTAATACTTGATCAAGATTTCAGAGTGAACAGTAAACACGGAGTTAATTTTTAAACGCGAAGTTAATTTTTAAACTGCACAAATTTTATTTCTGCATAAAACAGTTACATTTCACGAATATTTTTGTTGAAGGATTTTCCACAGTTTTTGACAGCTAACGTTTTTTCAAAGTCAAACAAAAAATGTTTGTTGAATTTACAGCTTGCGTTTGTTTGAAAAATCAATAAATGAATTTATGATGATCGATTTATTTCGTAGAACCTAAATTTCGCAAGTCTTCGCGTTTCATTTGTAATTGAATCTAATTTGTTTTTAAAGCTACAGCTTGCCTTTCTTTGAAAACTGAAAATATTTCTATAAAAATGGAAACATCATCACTTATAATCGAAATCTACAGTAATTTACTAGGCAATATAATATGTAATAATATCTTATAACATCTTGTACATTAAGTAATTTTGTGCATGGAAGTAAACATTTAACATAATAATAATATGTTCAATGTTTAAATAGTGAAAATAAAGTGAAACGTCGAATTCCGGACCTGCATTATACATATATCTTTATTCTTTAAAGTCTGATCGTTATAATTCAAATCACGTCTAAGAATTGAGTTTTTCCTTTCTTAAACAAATAGCTCTCTGCGCTTCCTTTAAAAACGTTAATCCGATTAAATATATTTTAATTAACAACATCTTTCGGTGTCTCTGGTATCCCTTTCCCAGTAGTGTCAGGCAGGAAAAGGACCGCCACACATCCACAGACCGACAAACCCGAGAACAGTGCCAGAGGTACTCTCCTATCGGTCACCCCGTAAAGGAGGCTCACATACGCCCCGAAAATACTGCCTAATCTAGCACAGCTGGAACTGAGACACACTATCATACCCCGGTGGGAAGTAGGAGCTAGCTCCCCCGTGTACAGATACACCATGGAGAAGGTGCCGGAGGTGGCTACACTCCCCAGTAAACTGGCTATTTGCTCGATCGTCCAGGTGTCCGTGATATCCACGTTCAGCATTGCGAAGAAGTTCATCACGGCTATTCCTCCAAACAGGCAGATTGTTGCTCGTTTTCGGCCGAGAAGTCGACAGATAGGGATTGCTGACACGTAACCGAAAGCATCACCAAGAGCAGCGAACAAATAGCTGGTAAAAAGGTCTGACCCTATTTTACTCCAACCCACTGTGTACGCGTAGGTAATAAGAGACACAAGGAACCAGCAGGCCATACAAAGGAGAGCTCTTTTCAGCAGACAGGGATATTTCTTAAAATCACTTAATTGCTCCAGGTAATTCTGGGCCCTTTCTTCGTAAACAAGATTGATACTGTCAAACGAAAACTCATTTCTTGTGATCTGGAAAAAAGAAATAATGTTTTCTTTGGCCTCCTTCTCCATACCCCTGACTAAATGAAACCTGGGAGACTCAGGGAGCGGGACCACAAAGAACATAGCAGTGGAGATGACACAAACTGCAGTCAGAGCCAGGTACAAATACTTCCAATCATCAATCAGATAGCCCAGCAGCACTAAGATAAGGTAACTTATGGACCAGGAAATATTGAAAAAACCAGCGGCCACATTCCTTAGACCCATAGGAGCGTACTCTATGACCCAGCAATATACACCAGTGTAGTTGATGAGAAGTCCGAACCCAGATATTATCCTAAACGCAAGGAGAGCCTGATAGTTAGGAGCCACACAACTTGCTGCTGTCGCTACTATCGTTATCACCCCGCCTACAATCGCACCCTTTTTCCGTCCTATTCTATCAAAGAGTCCGGTGGAGCACAGTAAGCCAGCAATGGCTCCGATGAAAAAAGAGCCTGATATTGTGGCCAGTCTGCTTTCTTCCTTACAGTAGATATTCCAATCAGTGGTAAAAGTTATCTTGCTTGTCGTCCAGATGAAGTCCATCCCTGCCTCCATTTCATTATCGCACATTGTCTTCTGGGTGAAGAAGTCCTCTTTCTCAGACATTTCTGCGTGGAGAGATGCACATTTATCCGAAGTGCACTTCCAGTCCTTGTAAGGAATGTTGCCCGTGATAACAGTTACGTATGCTACAGCACCAGAATTAAGTGCTGTGCTCAAAGCAGCCCAGTAGAGAAGAAACAGTGGGAGATTCAATCTTTTTACAGTTTTATCTACAACTTGTTCGATCGTCAGAGACTCTTTGTAAACCGAATCTTGTGGCGGCTCATTATTTACTGAGACCTCTTCCATGGTCAATCAAATCAAAATATAAAGGATAAACGACCAAAATGAGCTGAGATGAAATCAGACGTGTTTGCAGAAGAGCATGACCAAAATCCCACACGTTGGGGGGAGTGTATGGGAACTGGGTAAAAATTAGGATTAGACTTGCAATTATCGTTTTTGCTCTTTAAATAATCTAATCAGTAAATCCTCGTTTTTGGCCCTTGCCGTGGCCTACATCATCAATAATTATCCATCATGGTTCACAATTTCGGTATGATTGATTAATTGTCGTTGTAACGCCATGAACCGTGAAATTTGAAATATGTTATCAGGTTTTAGATCAAGATTATAATAGATCTGCTCTTAATTTACATATTCATACTTCAGATGAGTTGGTGGTCTGAACAAGTAATGTTTATCTAAAAAACCTAGTATATATATGCAAAAAAATCAGCATGTGATAACAGATCTACGAAGTGAATGGTAATTTTTTTGCTTCTTTCTCAAGGAGATCCTACTACTCTACTAATTGCGTACATATCACTCGTTCATTTGTATTTGTATTTTATGGCCCGTTGACCCAGTACCTCATCTATCGCTTGCTTGTTTCCATTTCCTACTCACTCCTTACATTCCATTTGAATTGTTTGATAATTTCAATTAGTTATTAAACTTTATTATCATCGCTCCACTTCATGAATCATCTACGGGTAAATGCCTCACAGAATGGCTAGCCTCACAGAATGGCCAAATTTGTAAATGTTTTTGTAACTAAATTTTTATAAAAGACTGGTAGGTTTTGTGGATACCATATGAAACAAAAGTCTTCTGGCAACACTTCCTGTGGTGAAATCATTAACTAGGACCACATTTTCTGGCATAAATATGACTGTTTATGTAGAAATTTTGAGCACTGAAAAATTTGTTTTCAAATTTTTGAACTAAGTTTACATTTTGGTGAGAACTTCTAGCACCAGTATGACAGAAGATGTATTCATCAAACAAAACGAACATTGTTCAATATAGGAAGAAAAAAATTCTAAAATGGCTACACGCCTCACAAAATGGCCAAAATATGCCTCACAAAATTTGTTTTCAAATTTTTGAACTAAGTTTGCATTTTGGTGAAAACTTCTGGCACCAGTATGACAGAAGATGTTTAAAGAATAGTATTCATCAAACAAAACGAACATTGTTCAATTTAGGAAGAAACAAAATGTTAAAATGGCTAAACGCCTCACAAAATCGGCCAAAATATGCCTCACAAAATGGCCAAAATTTAAAACTCCTTTTATTCAATGAAACCATAAGTCTAAAGTATTCACAAGCTATTTATCATACAATAACACCCCAGATGGAGTGTTTTTACAGCCGAATGAAGGTTATAAATCATGAAATCAGGGAATATGAACAACGCCACACAAAATGGCCATTTTTGGTGTAGGAAACTATGCCCTTTTTATTCAGTTCTAAGAAATTTCACCTATATGGGGGTGTTAACAAGGCATATTAATACCAGCAGCATGCCTGAAACAAGAGCCAAAGGTTTTAGAAAAATAAAATTTTCTCGTTTTCTTTTTTTTTTTGCCATTTTGTCAGGCATTTTTTCTTTTTTGTGAAATAATTTTTCACAGCTCAGTTTTTTCGTGAGTTTTAGGTTATTACCCCATTCCTCAATAGGTTTTCTAAGAACGTGTGGTGATAGAAATTTAAAAAGTATCTCCATCAACAAAATTATAGAAATTCAGATTTGGCCATTCTGTGAGGCATGTTTTTTTGGTGGAAGATTTTCCGGCCAATTTTTCTCAAAGAAAAAATGGTTATGAGATTAAATGAACCCCCGGGAAGAAAAAAATGAGTGTCAACTTAGCTTCTTATGAGATAAAAACTGGAATAAAGTGTGTTTTGTGACTTTGAGAGACCTTCCTTTTTTTTGGCCATTCTGTGAGGCAAATACCCGTACGTGTTTTAATTACCATCCCTCAACAATAAATTTTGGATCGATGTTGTATACTTTCCATTTCCAACCTTAAAGCTGACTAGATAGCAGTTGCAGTTTAGCAACCAGGGAATAAACTCACGTTTCGCAAGAATACATTTCACATTTTAATTTTACAAAATTGTATCTATAATATCGTGAATACATCACTCTGTTTGCAACATTCCAGTTAAGGGGGCATACCCCAAAACAGTGGTTTGTGCCGTCCAGACCAAATGACCTCATAGGCAGTTCAGTGACCTTCTAGCGCACCGTTTCCACACAAAAAAAATTATTTTGAGGATTCCCATTTTTGTAATCGACCATTTCCTGGTTAAGATCGCAATTTTCGGAAAAAATTATTTTGTGGTTGAGACGCTATAAGTTAATCATTTCTTGCGGTATCGGGTTGAAATTTTGCTCGCCGTTTATTCACAACTATGTCAAGGTGTGTGTAAAATCTTGATATCGTATCTAAAAAGGCTGGTGTGTTAAAATAAGTCAGAAAAGGACAATTTTAGCTTTTTGACTTTAAAAATTCATAAATGAATTTTTAAAGTCAAAAAGCTAAAATTGTCCTTTTCTGACTTATTTTAACAAAAAGTCAGTCAGGGAAGATCGGATTATTTGATGCTTGACATCAAATTGTTCTCTGAATTCTGGCGCAGTTTTTGATGCCCTCAAAAATGTTTTTACTCATTCACCTCCTGATCTATTGGACCTCAAAGCCAAACAACAAATTTAGGCACATTTTTCGTTTTTAATATTTACTGATTTTTCTAAAATTTTGCAGATAAAAAATCACATTTTCTCCCATAACTTCAAAGGGAAGCATTTTAGGGTGTTTTGTTCTTCATAACTCATATATAAATGTGCTAGTTGCGGTTATTTTGCACCCTTCAAAAAGTCACTAGCACATTCCTATCAAAATTTTAGAAAAATCAGTAAATATTTAAAAATTCATTTATGAATTTTTAAAGTCAAAAAGCTAAAATTGTCCTTTTCTGACTTATTTTAACACACCAGCCTTTTTAGATACGATATCAAGATTTTACACACACCTTGACATAGTTGTGAATAAACGGCGAAATTTCAACCCGATACCGCAAGAAATGATTAACTTATAGCGTCTCAACCACAAAATAATTTTTTCCGAAAATTGCGATCTTAACCAGGAAATGGTCGATTACAAAAATGGGAATTCTCAAAATAATTTTTGTTTGTGTGGAAACGGTGCGCTAGAAGGTCACTGAACTGCCTATGAGGTCATTAGGTCTGGACAGATTTGGGGTATGCCCCCTTAAGTACATGGTGTAAAAATTTGGGATTAATTTAATATTTGGAAGCATGAATAACACGCATAAGGGGTCGATGTTAGAAGAGTGAAAACTACACTATAGTACAACTTAATATGATCAATCATCATTAATCAGTAATTAGTAATACGCAACACAGTCTTTGTAGGAAATATGTCTCCACTTACCAACTTCATAATCGATGGTTTCAAAGTCCAAATATTTATTCATTTAGAGGACTGAAGAACAGCGGAATGAGCAGTTAGAACCATCTGAGGAGACACATAACCTGAGAAATAAAAATATAAGCTTAAGCTCTTAAGAGTTAAGTCTTTATAGTACAAAATATATGTACCAACTTATACAGGGTGGGCCAAAAGTCAGTGTGCAAACGTTGGGTCTTATACCTCCGCCGTGTTTTATATTTGAGGGTTGTTGCTTTGCAGATGGTTTACTGTACCTACTGGTTCGAGGATTCCGTCACCAAAATTTGAAAATTCGAATATTTTAGACCACGCCCATTCAATATTAAAACACTTATATTGTTCTCCCCGAACATGCTAGATGTCTAATTTTTTCAGAGACGGTAGATTATTAAATATTGCATATGATCTGAAAATATGAGGCAAAACGGATTAGAAATGACGAAGTTATCAAGCATTTTCTGTATCTCGTTAACAAAATTGACTGGGTGATTATGTGACACCGCGACACGTCACTTTAATTGGGCAGCCTTCATGATTCCCATAATGTTTAACAGGGTGGTTAACGGGGTCACCTAATCACGTGATTAGGTAAACCAATCACATGATCACACGTAATGAATAACCTCGACACCTCGTTAAGGTTGATATCTCGGTCATCTGAGAAGCTATAGAACTCTCATTTTTTCAGGGCAAACGTAATTTAAATGGCCAAACACAATTCAATAAAATTTGGCTCGATCCGACTATCCAAACTATCAAATAAATGCGAAAATGAACCTTCTTTTGAAAAAAATGAACACAAATATGTTTCGATTTGAAAAATTTCTCGAACCAGTGGTAGTAGTAAGTCATACCAGAACAAATTATTTCAATTGGGCACTCAGTGACTGAGCTATTAAGGCCAACGTTTGCACACTGACTTTTGGCCCACCCTGTATAATTGTAAAATATTACACTGCAGTGATGCCCTGGTTATCACTATTCACTAACAGTAAAAAAGTAAACAACTTACTTTTGAATATTTTTGAATTCCAACTTATCTAATTACAAAATAGCATATTGAGGACTTGACTGCTGGTGAGTGGTGGGGTGGCGACATTCGTTTCCTTTTATCATGGTACATTCTCGTTCATGTCACCACCCCAGGCTGGATGCAGTAAATGCGGACCAATGGGCGAGACATTATTTCTTATGAGTTGGTTTGTACTCAGAAGTTAATTGAAGGATTCAATACCCATCAGTGGCGCTCAATACCCATCAGTGGTTCCCAATACCCATCAGTGGCCCCAATACCCATCAGTGGCTCCCAATACCCATCAGTGGCTGCTAATAGCCATCAGTGGCCCCAATACCCATCAGTGGCTGCTAATAGCCATCAGTGGCCCCAATACCCATCAGTGGCTGCTAATACCCATCAGTGGCCCCAATACCCATCAGTGGCTCCCAATACCCATCAGTGGCTCCCAATACCCATCAGTGGCTGCTAATAGCCATCAGTGGCGCTCAATACCCATCAGTGGCTCCAATACCCATCAGTGGCTCCCAATACCCATCAGTGGCTGCTAATAGCCATCAGTGGCCCCAATACCCATCAGTGGCTCCCAATACCCATCAGTGGCCCCAATACCCATCAGTGGCTCCCAATACCCATCAGTGGCTGCTAATAGCCATCAGTGGCCCCAATACCCATCAGTGGCCCAATACCCACCAGGGCCTCCCAATGATCTGTCACCTAGTTATTGTAGTTACCTGCTTTCCTATTATATCTGTGTTACTGCTCTATTTATAAAAATATTTTTTGTAAAAATTGCACTGCCTTTTCAAATTGGTCCTGTATTATATAATGTCGATACTGGTTATTGGAATCCCGCCCAGACGATTCTCGTGGTTAGTAGCAGTGAATATATGAATATATAATGTAACGCACGCTTCCGAGACAAAGGGATATAGATTTTCAGATAGTTCCATTGTTTGATTATGCCATGTTGATTTTGTTGGTTGTCTTGCTTGGCGCTGCTGCCTCTGAGAACACAACTTACTCTCACCCAGTTGAAATTGATTTCTCAACCTCAGCACCTGTGAATACCACTAAACCTACAACCGCGAGACTGGTCATCGCACCAAAAAAGAGACAAGACCAGTCAGATGAAACAGAAAAAAAGGAGCAGATTACTCCCCAGCCAGTAAAACCCACAATCTCTCTCACCATGGAAGTCAAAATGGAAGCTGTTAATCTGATATGCACTTCAACTGGACCACCGTTTCTAAAAGGCTATTGGAAAGTGGGTCATCATAGGATAGATAGAGTCACTGAACAACTTAGTGACACAGAAGGACTACAAACGCTGACTCTCACACTGAAACTTTTACCCTCGCAACTTCAGTACACATACCACAATGAGTATTCTTGTCACGTGTCCAGCTTGCAGACTGAAGTCATGGAAACGATCAAAGTGCACGGGGACTGGTATAACAAACACAGAACTGGCGGTGATGAGTGTTCAAGATGTGAAATTGTCCCGTACAAGAACCAACCAATCGATTATTACATCGATTATGACAGCTACAAAGTTCACGATACCGTTGGTAAGATATTTTTTAATAATTGTGGCATGATAATAAGTTGAAACAATCTCCATGTCAATATAATTAAATTTCATTCTTCATTTTATGTAAGCTTATATTAACTTTTTAACCGTTAACAAATCCCCATTAGGATATCGAGCCAAGAAAACATTGACAGTGGCGATATCAGCTGTATGTTTATTCTTCTCTCTTGCACTGTGTGTCCAGTGTGGCGTATTGGTTTTAAAAAAGAAGAAAGACGAAGAAGACGAAGAAGAACTATCAGAAACTACTCAGGTGGAGAGACAATTTGAGCGGATTAAGTCATTAAATCTTCACAATGAAAGTGCTATCGCTCCTGATTATGCTGCGATGAGAAAGATGAGTTCATTGAAGGGGTTGACCGTGGGAAAGCAGTAAAAATAAAAGCGAAAAAACTGCTGAGAAAACACAGAAAAAGAATGGAGGTACGATACCAAACTAAGGAAAAGATTTTACTCCATCCTAGAATAACATAAAATCATTCACTCTCGACAAACTATATTTCTATCGATATCATGGTACATGTATTTTTTTGTCTAATTTAAAGATGTAACCATTTCAGATGAATTAACATTTATCACGTAGCGAGGTGTTTATTAAAACGGTGAAAAAAGTTTGAATATCAACAAAAATATTATTTCTAGTACACGTTTATTGTTTTAAATCTATAGTGAACTGCGTAATTAATCTATTGAACAAACTTTCGGTTCGTTTTCATCTTTTAATTGCACAGCAGACTTGTGATCTTCAAAAATAAAAACAAGGTACAGTAATTAAATATTAAAAATTACTAGTACTATCTATAAAAGATCTCCTAACCTTTTTTCCTTTGCTGAGAGAGAGAGAGAGAGAAAAGAGGTTTTATATATCAATGAAGACAGTCATCGCTTCAGTGAGCTCGTGTTTACCTGAAACGGAATTTAAATTAAACTTCTGTTTCTCCTCTCCAATAAGTTTTAGAATGAGACACCAATCTCAGTCCCACTTCGACGGTACCAGTGGCACGGTAATTATCTTACGGCACCATGATTAATTATTGAGTCGGGCTGATTCCGTCAAATGGCAACAGAAAAAGGCAACAGACGAGAATAAGCGTTGGCAAGAAACATTTATACATAATAATATGTACTGTTATACCTCAGTGGTATAATAACACTCGCAATTGTAGATCTCGGCAAGCTTGTGCAATCATACAATCAACTGCGACATTGCTTCAGTACAATAAGATGATAATTGTAATCTTATTAGGACAAACTTGTCGCGGCACGGACTAAAAATTAATTCGACATTGTGAGACACCAAAGTTGGTTGATAATGATCATTTATTGACAAGAACTGAAAGTTTAAATAAGTTGACCTTGTTGAGAGAACTGTGCCCAGAGATTTACACCAGAGTTTTTGAGTCTTTTTGCTTCCCATCCTTATCTTTTAAATTAGATCTATGTAGAATAGTGGTGTAAAAATTGAATGGTTGGTAGTAAATGATATTTATTGTTGATTTTTAGGATAATCAATTTATCCACGATAATCTGTAATATGTTAGTTTCAAGTACTGAAGTGAGAATTGGAATCTGATTTGACTATTCTAAATGCTTCTAAGGTCAACTTTATCATAGAGTTTGTGTAGCCAATCAACTAAAGAATTTAGAAAACTGAAACAACCAGATATTATGAAACTGATCTCAATGTTTTAGCTGTATAAACAACTTGGAATATTATCAATTTTATAGAAAGAATTCTAATCAACATTTTATTATCAAACTTGCAACAGCACTAAACTTTCCAGCCTTATTAAAATTCAATGGAGAGGACTTAAACTAGGTTATTTCACTACAAATGCTTAAAATGTATATAAACCGATGTCAAGCCAAAAATAATCAACTCCAAATTCTTTAAAACTTCAAACACCTCTGGATCTTACACCACCAAGAGCCACCTAAGAACTTTTAGAATTCAGCTGTTAATTTTAGTCTCAGCTCAGTCTAAGTTTAATTATCGCTGTTAGTCCTTTTAACACTAGTATTACTATGGAATTTGTTGAAACCTCTCTCTCAAATATTGCTTACATAACATTGCTCTTGTTCCAGTATTTTCTGCTTTTGTAATTTGTAATTTGTCGAGTAAAGACTAAAGTACTAAAGCGCAATCTGTCCTCTACACAGCAAAGCAACTCAGCAGATAGAAGGGTCCACACTCTCCTCAACCCTGATCCACAGGTAGGATTGCATGTATTAACGCATGTCAGTTAGTAAAACTATTGTTTGTGGAGACTAGAAGTTTGGTTGAAATTTTATTTTAGATTTTGTTACAAGCAACAGCTTATAAATCGAGTTTGTGTTTTAGTTTTACAGAAATACGATACACTGTACACTATACACTACCCTCGATTACAATTTAATTTTAACTCTGATTTGATGAAACTGCAAAGTAATTTAGAATGAGAGATGCAGCCGAAATTTCTGTGAGAGCTTCAATAAATTTCCCGGTTTAAGGCGTGACTGGACAGATTAAGAAATAAAGGCTTTATACTAGAATTGCATGTCATGTAATTATACCCAAATTGTTAGATACAGGGTGACCTATTCGTTTTCTGACAGTTCCCAAGTAGTGAACACTGATTCGTCAAACCAGCTCCAAAAAAAGCCTAACCACATACGGCAATTTATAATCTAAACATTTGCATATTATAGAGTGATTGCTATCCTCTTTCTTATAAGTCCACCAACTACAACCTTAATGTTTTAAATTGGGTGACCGACAACTGAACCCAATTGAACCTAGTTCCCACGCAGTTAACAGGCACCCAATCAGCTTAATTGGGTGACCAATCAGCTTAAATCCCAAAACGACAACTGAACCCAGGTCATATCACAACTGAACCCAACGATCGGATTTTCAGGTTCTACTTCTTCGCAGGAGACTGTGGTCATTATCACTATAGGACCACTGTAATTTAGAGCATTCATTTTGGAGCCCTGTGCTTACCCCGGTAAAATATTATACCGCGATTTTCAGGTCAAATTATAAAACCACTGTGCGCAATATAAATTTATATAGGCGTCTCCTCTGTATATAATATCTATATCATTTAGCGATCAGAATGATATACATTGATGTATATTGAGTCGAATATCTGCCATTGTACATTGTACATTCCGATAGTAATAACAATACTGACATTTTCAACATACTTTCGTTTAAAAAGTTTCCTCTTCATTACATGTGGCGATAGAGCAGAGCTAATCGAACAACAATACTGTTTAATCGGTCAATAGTTACATCATGGTATTCAGATATGGATGACATTACTTAAAGACTGATAATGTGACCCTACAAAGAAAGTGTTGTGATCCGTGTGCCAAGTGTTGGTTTAACCGGTTTTAGTTTTCCAATCATTTCCGATCATTTATGCTCGGAATGGCTTTCTGACGATCTGGGTAATAAAACGGGAAAATTTTAGTTGTGATTTGAATGTCCATGCCTTAAACTTTACAATTTAGCTAACCGCAGACAATAATAGCCAACCGTGGTTACTGTTTCAAACAAATTAATCAAACGTTTTAGTACGGATGGTGATTGGTGGTGGCCTGGTGCAATTTACTCGATACAAGATAAATGTAAAATGTAACTCTACTATAAACACCGTTGTACACTTAACTACCAAACTATCGTAACTAAATCTACTGACTATCGAACAATCTCGAAATTTTAATACATCATGTTCATATAAATCATTAATGTAAAGTTCCATATCCTAGTTAAACCTGTACTATTTAACTGCAATACTGGATTTCACATATGCCAGATGTTGAAAAACTATTAAGATCCTTATAAAGCGCTTCATTCTTCATCTACATAAATATCATATCATATCATCATAACAATATCATGATCAATTAATATCAGATCATTATTGTTCTCTGGGGACTATAAAAAGTTTTAGCGCTACACTTGGAATTTGTTCTGGTGCATCTTGGGCCCGGGAGTAAGGTGAGATGGCATGACAGGAAGTAACCAGGTACAACCTGCCTGTGTGCCAAATACTTCTTGGAGGTTCTGTTTCCAAGTTAACCGTTCCCACGTCGCTGTCTCGTTCTTTAACTTCTCTATTCCCTGCATTATCAGCATTATTATTGTATTATTATTATAAACTATTGACCGTGCAATGATAATACATTTTGTCATGGAGCCAAGTAAAATTATCTGACTCCAGCATACTGGGCTATTATCTATCGTTGTACATAATATTGTTGCACATAATATCATGCACTTATACAATATAATACATTATACATACACGAATATAGTCAAAAGTTGGTGGTAAAAAATCTCTAGCAATCTACAATTTCAAAAAGGGGAAGCAAACAAAATGTAAAGTTATAAAGTCTACACAGCACTCCACTAACCGTTTGGTCGTCTAAGATTGCGTATATTTGAGTACCAAACATAATACCAGTAAAAAGGCCAAATAGTAGTGAAATAAAGAGTAGGATTGTGAGTAACATCAGCGATACTGGAGGGGAGAGTGACCCGCAACCTGGACAAATTGTATTATATGGTTACTGGGATATGTAATTATTTGGAATTTAAATGCTAGTAGAAAGAATGTAGTAGTTGGACTTGCACTGAGGTCGGAGCATTTAGCAGATTGAATTTCTAGAAATTAACGACCTGAACGATTATTTTCACTTACTTCTCCACTCAGAATCACTGCAAGTAACAATCTTCTGTACCGCCATATACATCGCGTGGACTGATATGGCAAATATATAGAAAGTAAAGAGTATGAAGAACTTCTGGTTTTGCTGGCCCACGCAGTTGTTGACCCATGGACAGTGGTGGTCCATCTTTCTTACGCATCTCTTGCAAACCTGAACAGAAGTATGTGTGTAAGAGACTATAGTTAATTGGTTAGTTATCTTGTAAAGTAGTGGCAGCAGACTGAACCGTTGAAAAGGCAGTGAACTAGTTTAGGTAGTGAAATAGTTTAGGCATGAAAATAGTAGACTCAGCTTCAGATGTAGGTTACGTCGCGTACAAAGTTATTGTACATAGTTGTATATAATTATATTTTTTATTTCAGAGAGTGTAAATCTACTTTATGGCTTGTGAAATAATGGATAACCTAAGTCTGAAGGATTTAATGATCAAAGATCCCTGATATTATTTAAATTACCAAGTCTAAACTGTAAAATATTCACAAGAAGTCGAGCTGAGGAATGTATATGGTGAATGTGTATTTGTTTGCACTCAAATGAAATGAACAAAGATATGACTGTGAATATTGTTACTGCTATATAGTATACATGTTACGATGGTATTCCGGGTACACAAATGCTCAGCCGTATATTAAAAATCTTTTATTCAAAATTATACAATTACAATGTACATTTACCCGGCAATTTCCATAAAATGTGCTCCGCATTCAGGCCGTATTTATTTTCTGGGTCTCAAAATAACATCAAGTCAAACAACTAAATTAGGCATAAGCACTGAGCACTGAGCACTTGGTACTTACACTACAGTGATGCGCACGTTCAGGTTTAATACTGTTACACTTAAGACAGAGCACTGCACTTCGAAGCTCATCTTTACCCGTGTATCTCACGTTATATGTTTCCATCGGCACTGTACCTGTGTGATTAAGGTAAAGTTAGGGTGGTAATATGTGGTAACATAATGTGGCACATTTTTGATAAATCAAATTATAAGTGTAAAATCCGTGTCAAATAATTTGTAGAATTTATGTGCTTAATATTTCTTCAATCAACAGAACGAATACATACAAGAATTCAATTATTCACATGGCACAATTTGTGAAAATTACTGAGTCTCCTGTGAGTAACTTAACCGAAAGAGAAGGAGGGAAAACTAACCAGGATTGGTAGTCATTGCTCTGATATGACACCACAGTGCTAGCAGAGAAAACGTCCAGAAAATTCCGACCTGTGATTAATATTTTAACTAAATTATTAGGTTATTTAAACAACTTATAGTAAACAGCAACAGAACCAAAATGAGGGCAAAATGTTAAATAGCACAGGTTATCTATTAACTCAAGAACTCTCTACTTTTGGTGCCCTATCACAGTCTCACACAATTAAGTCGTGAACTATAACCTATCATGCACATTGCAGATAATAATATAAATAAATAAATAAATAAAGCAAATTTTATAAGCACTTTATCAGTAAATATTTGAGTCAGTTATAAAATGAACCATAGATGATGCTGTCAAGGAAGAAGCAAATCAGATCGTAAGACTGTTAGTAGTACACCCTACTAGGAAGATACAGATAAAGATATTAATATTAATTAAAGATATTAAATATAAAAGTGGAATATGGCATGAACGAAATTTGAACATAAAACGGTCGCAGTAAACTTTCAATTTTCGTTAATGTATCATATTATGTAATAAATAGAGCCTTCAAATCATTTGAAGTAATTCAGTTCACATAAAATATCAATGCATGACGTAGCAATACACTGCCTGATGAGTAAATACTTTATCATGTTTATGATGATATTATTAAAATTAACAAAATAAAGTTTTGTTTGATTATAATTCAACTTTTAAAAATTATCATAATGAAACTAAAGAAACTGACTGACCTGGATAGTTTCGCTGACAATAGGATCAGGAAGTAAGACAACTGAGATGATGACAAACTGTGAGTATAAAACTAACAGGTAGGTGAATGTGCTGCAAACAATCCCAGCGACGTCGTTAACAAACCACTCAAACATTATGTCTGAAGCACAAACCCTGATAAATCTGAGGCAAAGAAATACCAGTTAAATTATCACAGATAGTTTATTAGTCAATGAAACATTACGAATGTTAAACGCATGTTTTAATAATGGTATCACCACAGTTACAGCGAATAATTTTGTAAATGTATCTTATACCAAATCGTATGAGCTATGAGTAGAAGATCTGTCTGCTGAGATGCTTGGAGGAAATCAGGTATGGCAACTCAAAGTAGGTGAGTATAACCTTCCACTGGAGCCACATACACCAATTTCATATCTAACTGTCAATTGAATAATAATAATAATAATCTTATACAGTTACATAATTGAAACAATTATGGCCCTTTTTGTGGGCAGAGTATGTGTCTTTGTTGAAGTGTCCTGATATAAACTTATCTGAGTGACTGCATTCAAATAATTTAAGGAGAGTTCTCTTAAAACTTTAAGACAATAGGAACAAATACTAGGACCTAATAAAATCAAAACAAAATGCAGCCACCTAATTTGTTGTTAAGCTTTCTCTTCTCCTACGATTGACTAGAGGAACCATCTTTGGCGAGTATTAAGGACTTAGACCATTACAAATACCGTGCTGTAAGTTTGCAAAGCATGTGGACTAAGTGGGTCGAGAGTACTCGACTTGAAAGTGGGTGTTGAGAATCCTCAACTAGACTAAAGATAATGACGTCCAGAAGATGAGGCAGTAAAAGTGAGTAGAAGAGGCTGAAGGAGAAGAAATGTCACAAGAAGATGGGCAGGGAGAGCACTATAATAATCATTTTCATGATAGTTCACCAATGGCAATTTGTGCTAAAGAGCGGAAGGCAGTGATGCTGTTATCACTATCATCTCTTAAGATAGACCAGCATGGTTGGTCACTAGAGGAATGCTCCTGCAGGGTTTCCTTGTAGGAACAGATGCACAGAGAAGATTATGTGATAATTGTAGCCCAATACCTGACAACTGAATAAAACAAGGTAAATATAGGTAGCTTAAACAGAATTATTAAGATTTAATATTACTGGGATAAGCATAGTAATCTTTCTTTGCTGCAGACTGATTAATAAGCCACTATACTATGTTGTTATGTATATAGCCTGTTAGAATCCTGCCGTGCTTGAGCCAGTTAGTCACCATACCCGTCCCAGTGGCAAATAGTCAGGCGTCCAGGAATTTAACACCTAGTCAAAATTTGTTGATAACCGGTAAAAAAAGATTCTTGTGGAAAAAATATTCACATTAATTTAAAATTAAATCAAACTTGGTCGCTCTCAGGGCTAACGCGATGTTACATCATTTTATCGACTCGAAGTTCGAATCGAGCGCATTCCTAGATTCCATGACTATTTCTTACCTATAAGATTGCTTGACTATTTTTTGCGCATTCAGACACCAAAAAACGCGCAGAAAACGCGCGCTATCCATTCCTCCTTCCTCAACATCCCGGAATATGAAAAAATAGTCATGTAAAATAGTCATTTAAAATAGTCATGCAAAATTTCAGCTCTGATACGCTAAAATATCAAGTTAATCTTAAACAATCGACAATCTAATATGAATCCTCCCAATCCTCCCAGCCATATTAACTGGTGAACGGTGTAAATATAGAGCGGTATTTTAAAATGTAGCATTCAAAATTTTATGGATTCAAGTTGGCTCCTTTAGTCTAGATTCATTTAGAAAATTCTCGAAGTTCGAGTAATACAGTATTCTCAGGGTTTGGCGCTTAAGGAAGCTTCACATCCGAGACCGATTTCCACGAATCAATTTAATATTGTAGCTACAAGTCAACAACAGTGCAAGTGGGAAGGAAGTGAATCTAGCCATTGCTACTATATCAGGGGAACTCGTGTGTTCTAGGCTTAAGCAAGCTTCACATCCTAGATCATCTAGAGTACAGTGCAGACAACCCCCTCCATTATACATCCCTATCCCGCTTTAAGTCCGAAGTTTATCATTGTTTATTGTCCAATATTGTATCTAACCTGGCAGAAGCAAGCTTCAGATCCAAAGTCAGGCCATAAATATCGACACAAGGTCGAAGTCACTTTCAGAATAGCGAATCATTCATCATGCTGATGAGAGTCCAATCTTAGAATTCGATCTACCGAGTTGGTATGAAGAAAAGTGTAAGGATGTTTGTGAGCTAGGCTTTATACTTCTTTTAAAAAATATTTCCTTGCGTTTCAAATAAATTAAAGAATTCTCAGAAATTTTTTATTTAATTTCAAAATTTGCAATTGCATATTCATCCGGTAATTATTCTAATGGATACGCTAAGCATTTCAAACTAATCTTGACCTGGGAGAAGAGCTGACCAGTGACAAGTCGGCCGCAAAGCGGCCGAAAAATATATAGCCTTTTTTTCTTCCCAAACTGGATTCCTAGTCATATTTAAAATTTATTCCACTGGGATACCCGTAGTATATTCCTTGGTAATAGAATAACTTTAAAGTTTTTCAAACTGTTGCTATACGTAATTGATTTAAATAAAAATTTGTTGTTTTCTTGAAATTGGTTGTTTTCTTGTATTAATTTCTGTATCTTGCAGAATAGCATTTGTTTTAGAACTCTCAAACCTACAAATTCCTAGCGTGTCCAGAGCTAGGGTGACTCCTTGGCGTGTTGTGGCCCCAAAATCTTGAAAAAACAAAGAAATACAATTGTAAAGAAAGTTTTATAATTACTGCGACGAAGGATAAACAATTGATTTAATTCAAAATAGGAAAATTCAAACAATATACACATAATATAGCATTGACCCTATTATATATAAAAATTCAATATGAAATTCAATAAAAAATCTTAGTAAATTTTATAAAAACCCTTTAAGTAGTAAACGTTTTTAAAGTAAAATTATTCAAACAATATACACATAATTGTCACAATGACCCTATATAAAAACAACCCTTCAAAAAATCAATATATTCCCTATCTCAGATATTGGGAGAAAAATTTGAATATCAACCTTTGCCTTGTGGCTCCAAATTCAAATCTAAACTGTTTATATCAACAAAGTTCTTTCTTGCACCTCTGTCCCCCCGTAGAGAAATCACTGTTGTTCTTAGGATTTCGAAACGAAGGCGCTTTCTTATGTATCCAACAACATCTGAATACCTTTGCCCTGTGTGGTATTCCATCTTGCTAGCAAGCTTCTTTACTAGTCTTTCAGCGTCACACCCATTCCACCAGATGTTGAGAAAACTAACGGCATGAAGCTTCCTTTCTCTACTTCCAGAACCCTTGCATTGTAACACCTTTTCTTCTCATTTTCATGGGACTGGTACATTGCTGGGATCGATTTGCTTGCATTGGAGGGGGCTGGGGCATGGAATACCCTTACATCAAAATATGCCCTCTCTGAAGCATTCCAAATCGATCTTGCAGAAATGTCCAGCCTAGCTTGGTCTCCTAGGACTGTTCCCTTTGGTAACTCTAGGCCATCAACTGGAAGAAGAACTGGCTCAGTCTGCACATCCTTGCATTTCACAGTTCTCATTAGTTCTGCAAAGGTGTCTCTCAACGAGTTGTGTGTCACATTTACACCTGGGAATATTTTTCTTGCCTTCTCTACGTGCTCAGGCTTGACTATCACCCATGTCTTAGAAGATTTAGGTTTTTATCCAAAGAGAGTTCCTTTAATGCAGAGGTTATCCCACCACTTCCTCATTTCTTCAAGTTTTCCCCCAGCAGCAGAGTCATCAGCATACCAGATCTGAGTCACATTTTTCTCAATGTTTCCTGCATCAATCAATGGTATTGTACCACAGGCATTGATTTAATCGGTATTTAAAAGTCACGCATCTAACGATTATATTATAGCCACAACAATTTACTACAATTTACTAGCAAGGTATATAAGTGAATTCTACGTGTCTTGGTGGCTTAACCTTTGAAATGCAGCTTAGTCTAGGTACCCAGAGGCGGCTATTGAGGGCGTTCAGGCGTTCGTGGACACCCATCTGGTGGCTGGTGCTTAAAAATAGAAATAGTGATTAGTAATAGTGTTTGGAAATATCTTATCGCAATAAAAAGCTCTTTTGTCTGTATTCACTCAAACATTCGAATGAAAGCGCATGCATGATCTTTGTAAAATTTTGTGTTAATGGTCGTCTAATCCTACGTTTGGACGACTAAGCCGCGCAGTTTTAATACCTAGTTAATTGTAAACGGTACAAAGCACATCAAGCGCATCCCACTACAGGTAATTAATATGATTTGCTCGTCCAGTACACCTTGCAATTTGAACCATCGACTGTTATGATACTGTGCAGCTGAGATCGTACACGTGTGGTGTCTTGTTTCACCCATATATATATATATATATAACTCTAAAACTCTGGTCACAAGAGCAACTGCCTAAACGTGCAGAAGTGAAAACAAATACATAAAATACTAGCAATCATTTAAATTTGCAATAAATAAGTTCGTTCAATGTCATTATATAATTCTTAAAACCGCATATATATGGTCATTGTCAATTTTGCTTTGCCCATTTTGCTTACTTTTTGATTTAAATTTTTGAGCAGGTTGATAAAGAGCAATTTAATCCTTTCTGATATCATTTTCATCTGAAGATTCCGAATTTTCTGAATTCTTTGGAATGAAGTTTCTATCTCATGTGGAGCAAAAGTTATGACCTGGTTTTCGATGTGGAGCAAAAAAGTGTGGAGCACCCCAATAAAATCTATGCTTTTTGACTATTTTGATCGCCATTTAACAAATAGATCCTGGACGTTAATTGCAAAATATTTTCACTGCCAAATCATAAAATGGACCTCAGCCAGTGTGGAGCAGTCGAAATATCCTCATATTTTTCGTCTCAACCAGGGGTAAACATTACAGTAGAATCTCCGTCTTTTCACAAAATCTTAGTTTAAAGGAATACGCACCAGATAACATTATCAATAATGGTACACCTTGCTCAACCGATGCGGAGCACGAAACTATTATACCTTAGTTGGGAAAACTGATTGGGAAGAAACTGAGTTTTGAAAGTGAGTGTGATTAAAAACGATAAATACATCTAATCAGGCCATAAAAATATCATTTTTTCTTGTGATTATGTGCAGACCCCCTGACTCTATTCTTTGGAACTGCTGATAAACCTAGTAATGCTCAACCATGTGGAGCAGAGGACTTTTACAGCATAACATGACTCCTCATCGGCTGATATGACTTGGATGAGAAATTAGAATGAGTATTTTAGCTTTTATAATAAATAACTAGCAGAACAGATTGAAAAATTGTATTTAATAGGCTCAACCAGAGAGGAGCAGAATG